CTATAAGGCGGATAATCTGAGCAAGTTTGGGCGAATTTCTATGTTCCAAACTTGAGATATGACTTCAAACACAAGGAAATATTACAAATTGGTACGGTACGCAGGCATATATTTTGAGATCTGACCGATAGAATTTCTTTAAACTTTCCAGATAGTTACATGGCTATAAGACGGATAATATGAGCAAGTTTGGGCAAATTTCTATGTGCCAAACTTGAGATATGACTTCAAACACATTAAAATATCTCAAATTGGCGGTTTTGGTACGATATTTGACGAAAGTCGATTATCTCAAGATCTAACTGATAGAATTTCTTTAAACTTTCCAGATAGTCACATGTCTATAAGACGGATAATATGAGCAAGTTTGCGCGAATTTCTATGTGCCAAACGTGAGATATGACTTCAAACACAAGGAAATATTTCAAATTCTATCAGTATCAGTTAGATCTTGAGAAAATCGAAAATAACCGTCAGCTTATGTAATGTAATCACAACTTGTTTAAGTTGACTATGAAAACCTTCCCCAGTTTGGCTATGATATAATTGATATCTCTAAATAAAATTGGCCTATGTTAAGACTCACCATTGAGCGAGCTACAAAAAATACACAGTACACACTCACATTCCTACCCAGTGCACACTATAACTGTTGCCAGATAAAACATTCAATGACTTGCTTTAATTACAATTAATAAACGATGTGCAATGTATAATATAGATAGCTTATGACCACATATGTTTCCATGTATATTCAGTAGTCAATGACTAGACAGTGTTATTGAAAATTACAAAGAATAAAATGGCGTCTGGACTTGGGACCAGCTCATAGTACATTTCATTAATGCCCTCTGAAAACCATTCTGCTAGCTAAAAAATGATATTTTTAGGTAAAACGTACTGAAAATTAAAATTAAGATCAAAAATTGAAAACGAACTAACAAAAAGAATGACACGTCATGCTAAAATACATATTCCGAAGTAAGATTAATCCCAGAATAATTTTTAGCAACTTTCAGACACGTTTTCAAACATAATCCAACAGCTACAGACAACTGCTGCAAGGAACTATTTCTTCCAGATGTAATGAATCGAAATTTAATAGGGTCCTTGTGCATTTTTGTCGTACCATACAGATATGGAAGCTTTCTTTTCTCAGACTTGATTTTAATTCCATGAGACTTGAGGAAGTCTACATGTCAGAGAATGATTTCAGGATCTTGTTAAGGTTGATATCCTCAACATATTTATTAGTGTACTGAACTACCATGTAATTGTTACTTTTAGGTTGACTCTTCTTTGACCAAACGTATTTACATCGATACAATTAGTATAATGTAAACAAACAAAACCCCGATTTACCACGAACCCCGATTTACCGCGGATGTTTCCTTTCCCCCAAACTCCGCGGTAAATCGGGGTTTTACTGTATTTAAAAAGTTTCGATTCCGCAATAATTTCCGTTCACAAATTAGTTGGGATCATGATTCATACATATCAAATTCTGCATACATGTATATATTGATATTGTATAACTCAATCTATAGCATATAATAAGACGGGTGTACTCATCAATTAATTTGGTTTAAACACTACTTTATTTAGCTCCTTATTATATTTGAAATCCGAATTGAATATTATTTATGAGAGTCAAATTTCTGTTGATCCCACGTTTGATTACGATGTTGTCACATTGAAACGTTGAATAATTCCTTTCCTCCTTATTTTATTTTTCATAAATATCTTATCATAAATATCTTATCAGGAGCAAAGAAAAACAGTCCTGGCTGTTCAAGAACCCTAACAGGGCCGGAACACACAACCAGTGATAGCAGGAAATACAACAAGCAGTGGCGTAACAACAAAAAGAACTAGAGGGATAGAACAGGTTACCACTTCCTGCAAAGAAGAAGAATAAAAAACATTCCCCCCATCTCACGTGCAGGCAGATTAAAAATCTTACTGTTATCTATATTTTGAGACCTCATGTGGCGTGTTTTTCTGCTATTTATACTTATAATACTAAAGATTCTGCAGTCTTAACTCTTATACTTTTCAAGTAAAAATAATTGACTTCGGTAAAATTGTAATATATTGCCGACTCGCTATTATATAAAGGTTTAAAACATGAGTGATTGTTGGTTGTAAAGTGCTAAGTATTTTTCCTTCTTAAATGGCTATATAAAAAGGCTTGTTATATTAGCCGGAGTTTAGCAGCTCTGAAACAACCTTATGATAGAGCGCACAAATACAGAGCAGCTGTTATGAACAGTAAACTAATAGCCATTTAACGGCCGTGATCATGTCGTTACGATCATACATAATAGCCGTCTCAGCTTTTTTAGCCGGTTAATTAGTTTACCGGCTTACGCAGTGGGAGATTTATAATTCGCATCGTTTTGTCGTTTTAGAACCTAGAAATAGTGCTCAAAGCTGGCTTTGTGGTTAAGTTTTGTAGTTGGAAAGTGTTTTTAATGTAGAGTGGGAGCTCTTAGGATTTATAATTGGCATCATTTAGTCGTTTCAGAACCCAGAAATAGTGCTCAAAGCTGGTTTTGTGTTTAAGTTTTGTAGTTGGAAAGTGTTTTTAATGTAGAGTACTGGGAGCTCTGAGGATTTATAATTGGCATCATTTAGCCGTCTCATAACCTAGAAATAGTGCTCAGAGCTGGTTTTGTGGTTAAGTTTTGTAGTTGGGAAGTGTTTTTAATGTAGAGTACTGGGAGATCTGAGGATTTATTATTCGCATCATTTAGCCGTCTCATAACCTAGAAATAGTGCTCAGAGCTGGTTTTGTGGTTAAGTTTTGTAGTTGGAAAGTGTTTTTAATGTAGAGTACTGGGAGCTCTGAGGATTTATTATTCGCATCATTTAGCCGTCTCATAACCTAGAAATAGTGCTCAGAGCTGGTTTTGTGGTTAAGTTTTGTAGTTGGAAAGTGTTTTTAATGTAGAGTACTGGGAGATCTGAGGATTTATTATTCGCATCATTTAGCCGTCTCATAACCTAGAAATAGTGCTCAGAGCTGGTTTTGTGGTTAAGTTTTGTAGTTGGAAAGTGTTTTTAATGTAGAGTACTGGGAGCTCTGAGGATTTATAATTGGCATCATTTAGTCGTTTCAGAACCTAGAAATAGTGCTCAGAGCTGGTTTTGTGGTTAAGTTTTGTAGTTGGAAAGTGTTTTTAATGTAGAGTACTGGGAGCTCTGAGGATTTATAATTGGCATCATTTAGCCGTCTCATAACCTAGAAATAGTGCTCAGAGCTGGTTTTGTGGTTAAGTTTTGTAGTTGGAAAGTGTTTTTAATGTAGAGTACTGGGAGATCTGAGGATTTATTATTCGCATCATTTAGCCGTCTCATAACCTAGAAATAGTGCTCAGAGCTGGTTTTGTGGTTAAGTTTTGTAGTTGGAAAGTGTTTTTAATGTAGAGTACTGGGAGCTCTGAGGATTTATTATTCGCATCATTTAGCCGTCTCATAACCTAGAAATGGTGCTCAAAGCTGGTTTAGTGGTTAAGTTTTGTAGTTGGAAAGTGTTTTTAATGTAGAGTACTGGGAGCTCTGAGGATTTATTATTCGCATCATTTAGCCGTCTCATAACCTAGAAATAGTGCTCAGAGCTGGTTTTGTGGTTAAGTTTTGTAGTTGGAAAGTGTTTTTAATGTAGAGTACTGGGAGATCTGAGGATTTATTATTCGCATCATTTAGCCGTCTCATAACCTAGAAATAGTGCTCAGAGCTGGTTTTGTGGTTAAGTTTTGTAGTTGGAAAGTGTTTTTAATGTAGAGTACTGGGAGCTCTGAGGATTTATAATTGGCATCATTTAGTCGTTTCAGAACCTAGAAATAGTGCTCAGAGCTGGTTTTGTGGTTAAGTTTTGTAGTTGGAAAGTGTTTTTAATGTAGAGTACTGGGAGCTCTGAGGATTTATAATTAGCATCATTTAGCCGTCTCATAACCTAGAAATAGTGCTCAGAGCTGGTTTTGTGGTTAAGTTTTGTAGTTGGAAAGTGTTTTTAATGTAGAGTACTGGGAGATCTGAGGATTTATTATTCGCATCATTTAGCCGTCTCATAACCTAGAAATAGTGCTCAGAGCTGGTTTTGTGGTTAAGTTTTGTAGTTGGAAAGTGTTTTTAATGTAGAGTACTGGGAGCTCTGAGGATTTATTATTCGCATCATTTAGCCGTCTCATAACCTAGAAATGGTGCTCAAAGCTGGTTTAGTGGTTAAGTTTTGTAGTTGGAAAGTGTTTTTAATGTCGTGTTCGGTGTTTTATAACTCCCGACATGGCTGCACAACAGTCTCCCTTAAGAACACTTTCCACTGTTAATACAAATTATCATTTACGATCGTTGTTCTACCAATCTGCCTTAATAAATTCGTTCATGAATTCATACACTGTAAGTGTAGACTGTATTATTAGTGCCGTACATTTGATTAGCAATTTACTGGGTATGCGACTTAATTTTGCCATGATGTTGATAGTTGCCAAATTTCGGTAACAAATTAGGACTTAATTTGAGTTTACTGCACGCGCGATGAATAATTTGTGTTTATAGAGATCTGCGGCGCGTTATCAGGTTAACCAATGAAATCACGGCGTTTTCGTCACGTGACAGTCGACTGTAGAGTGATTAATTATCATCCTAAATGGTAGGAGTTAGAAGTAATATGACACAAACGTTATTATAACACTGTAACTATATCGTCATACAATGTGTATCGTCACCCCTGTATCGTCAATCTTAATATCTTAATCGTTAATACTAATAGTTGTTCACTGTTTGGTTCTCAAACAAACTACTTTAGAAACAATATAATGGGTAGTGAGATTCATGGCTCAGCTTCAGATACGTGATAATGGAGGGATAGATGAGGGTTGAGGAGTAAATTGATAAATTAAACCGCAAATGTCTTGACAATAGCAACCAATCCCGTCTTTGTTGCTCTGACAAAAGGCGTGCAGTACGAACATGGCCAAACCATCCACGTAACCCTCAGTAACACATGATCTGACCCTACCTAGAGTACAAACTTTCATCCTTCACTAAAAGTAAACATGCTAACCTTGTACGTTGTGTTCATTTGTCTGGTAAGTTCAGCAATAACGGGAGACATATGTTTGCGTTACAGGACTGGCGGGGCCTTACTAAAGGTGGACATAGAACATCTGTCAGGGGAGCAGGAAATGATCACTCTGAGGGGAAACTACAACTCTAAGAAGCATAGAGGAGGAGAAGAAAACGCGTTCAATGGTTTCTTCCTCGCTCGGAACAGTAGTGTTCCTGATTCAGGGGTAGACTTCAACATCTTCAACAAACTAGTAATCCCAAAAGCTCCAGCAGAAGCAACTTATTCCATAGTGCCCACTAGAATAAGAAAATGTTGTGATTACGAAAGTGGGCTATTCTACCGAGACACCTTCGACGATTCTATTTATGCGCGGAAAACGAAAGCTATGAACGTTTACCAGCTTGTTTTCAAGAAGAACATTCTCTACCTTACAATCAATGGAAAAACCACTACAATCAACAAACCTAGTTACTCTAAAGATCCAGATTTGTGGAAGATAGGCCACGTCCGGCAGAGAGGCACCGCAACTAATTTCTATGACGTCACCGTGTGTCCCCTGAGGGTAAGTGTTGTTATGGTACAGGATACCTCATTAGCTGACTTGAAGGAAGGGTGTGAAGCTGGTCGGGATTGTGAGAGTGTAGGCAGGATTGTTCAGCAGTTTGGGACGAGGATAATACTGAGCTGCTTCGCTTCAGGGCCCCCTCCCATGGATATATGGTGGGAACTGAACGGTGACTTCAGACCTAGCATTGAGAGAGATACCGAGACGGGCGTGTCTCTGTCTATGTTACGTATTGACTCTCTGGATAAAAGTAACGTAGGAAACTACAGCTGTGTAGCACAAAACAAATTCGAAAAGACCATCATGTCCAGCTCCTATGTAAGTGTGCTTGGTTACAGTCCCATCTCACTGCACATCATAGCTGGAGCCATGTCTGAGATTACCTGCAATGGGAGTGAGGAATGTGGGGTTAGCACCAAGAATGTTGCAACTTTGATCGGAGAACAGTTAACATTGAGCTGCAAAGCTTTTGGATCCCACCCCTCGCGTCTTTGGTGGAGTTTTGAGGGGAGGAACTTAACAGATGGAGAATCAACCCATATCAGAAGAGCCCAAAACTTGACTGAGATATCCTTTACGATGAACGAAAGAAGAACAGGTAGATACAAGTGTCTTGCTGCTTACAACAAATTTAGTGAGATCTCCTCGAATACCTCCATTGACGTGGTCGGCTACGACCCGATTTCCCTGCATGTCATACCTGAACCTTTACCAGGGATTACGTGTACTCACAGTAATGATTGTGGAACCAGCACGGAAATTATAGCACAGTTGATGGGAGGACAGTTAACTATGAGTTGCAAAGCGTTCGGGTCTCATTCAAGTCAGCTCTGGTGGAGTCATGGAGGAGAGAACTTGACAAACGGGGATTCCTATCAGATCAAAGGAGCCCAAAACGTCTCAGAAATATCATTTACTGTTAACGAAAACAGATTGGCTTGGTACAAATGTCATGCTGCTTACAATAAATACAAGGAGGTCCTCTCCAGTGTCTCTGTTTATGTCTTTGGTTACAAGCCAATATCTTTATACATTATGCCAGTAAACTTATTAGACATAAACTGTGATGAACGTGAACACTGTGGAGTAACCACGGAAATAGTTGCACGGCTAATCGAAGGAGAGATAACTATGAGTTGTAAAGCGTTCGGGTCTCACTCAGTCCATCTCTGGTGGACATTCGGAGGAGAGAATTTGACCGACGGCGAAACTTTTCAGATCAGGAAAATGCAAGATCTATCTGAAATATCGTTTGCAATGAGAGAAGACAGAGCGGGTTGGTACGAATGTAATGCAGCATACGATAAATACAGTAATATTTCTTCAAATGCCTCGGTTTACGTATTTGGATACGAGCCATTATCACAATATATAATGCCAGGCCGTATGGAAATCATCAGCTGTAATGAACGAGAAGCTTGCGGAGTAAGCATCAACAAATCTGTAAGCGTGATAGGAGAAAAAGTCAGCATCAGCTGTAAAGCCTTTGGGTCCCATCCTACCAACATCTGGTGGACCTTCGGAGAAGTGAACTTGACAAGTGGAGCGACCTACCAAATCAGGAGAGGACAAAGCATGTCGGATATATCTTTCACGGCTAAAAAGGACACGACTGGTTGGTATAATTGCCACGCAGCTTACAACAAGTACGATAAAATATTCACTAGCGTTTCCTTCCACGTGTTTGGCTACGAGCCAATTTTCCTCCACATCTTGCCACGACCCATGTCAGAAGTATCCTGTAATGCCAGTAATTGTGGGATGGGTGCGAACGTGTTTAAACCGTGGATCGGAGAAGAGTTCAGTATGAGCTGTGTTGCATTCGGATCCCATCCTACGGAGATCACGTGGAGTATTGAGGGGGAGAAGCTGAGGGAGGGGAAAACGTACCAGATACGAAGTGGGGAGGACATGTCAGAGGTATCGTTTAATGTGACTAAAAAAGAAAAGTCAGACTGGTACAAGTGTAAAGCTGCTTACATTTTCAACACTTCCATTACTTCAACCGCTCTGATGGAGGTATCCGGGGTGTTCCCTCTCAGCGTACAGATCCTGGAGCCCAAATACGTGGTGGCTTCACCCGGGGTCACAGTGAAGTTCGTGTGTTTGGTGTTCCAGTGGCCATTCACCAGCATCGTCAACTGGAGACACCTCAACAGTAGGACTCGCAGTAATCACCCACCTGTCACCACTCAGGATGAGATGGACGAACAGGGACATATAAGGTACCAAATTATAGATACTATTTTACTTTCAATTAAATAGAATAAAAGTTAAAACTTATTCCAAGCCTCATGTAACACTAACAGTATGTGCAACAGACTAACAGTATGTGCAACAGACAGTATTTCAATGCAACATTTCCAGGTACAAAGTATTGACTCTAGAGTTTGAGTCTGCTCGAGATAGTGATAACGGAGTGTTTCTTTGTGGGAATGATCAAGTTACGGATACAGCAAGTCTCTTCGTAGAGACGATTGTAGAGACACCCTTTGTTACCATTACTGAAACTGACGGTGGGGAGGTGGAGGTGATCTGCTGGACTCATGCCAACCCTCCAGCTACACTGCACCTCACACTTAGTGTGGATGAGGAGGATAGAAAACAGGAACTCAAACCGGAACTAACGAGCACGACAAGGAGTGGAAGCTTAGTTAAAAAAGGGTGGGTTTTGAGATCATCTCGGAGTTATTTTAGAATATCCTTTATTTGTGAGGCGGTTCAAGGAAATCGTAAAACAGAGACTTCTGGTTATTTTGCTCTGACGAGACCAATCAAGACTACAATAAATATCATTTCATCGAGTGTTAACAATTTTAATTTCAACTATGGTGAAGTTTTCTTAGTGAATTGTAAAGCAAGTGGAAATCCTGCTCCGAAACGGTTGATCTTAATAAAAGACGGTCATGTTGTCGAACAGTTCGTTAATGATGAAATCTTCCAATATGAGATTGAACTCAACTCAATTTTTGAAAATGTAACCATTAACGAAGACGGTTGGTACAGCTGTCATGCATTTGATACAGAGAACGTTAATGATTCAATCAGTACAATGGAGATGGGAAAATTGAGCGCTAAATATAACCATGGTTGGACTTTTTGCAGAGATAGTAGTGCTGATCATTTGAGTGATTCAAGTGGTACACCCGAGAATTGGACTATTAATGAGTTTGGTTACTGGTTTAATTCGAGCCATGATGGATTAGGGTCTCTGACGCGAGAGGAGGCAGATCATGGTTCAAATTGGTACAGTTGCAGAGGAAATAACAATATCATTGATTCGAGTCGTCAGCTAGTGAATGTCTTTCAAGAAATATCCTTTATAAACATGTCTTTTCAACCTGATGTTGAGGTAAATGCAATCAACGAGACAGCTTATATTCCTGAAAACACTTATTTCTTCGCTGAATGCTCAGCTGGAGGTGGTTCTCCAATGCCAGAACTTACAATGTTTCTGGATGAAGTCAAGTTAGATGGGAGATCAGAGATCGTGGGCAAAAACTCGGTGTTAGAAGTTGTCCTGAAGGTGAACAGCTTATATTCATCATTGAGATGTGAAGCTAAACAGAACAAGTTTGGTGAGGATGTGTTGGCAAAGAGCCATTTCCTAACACTCATCCCTTTGCTACCTTTAACTTCCCCGACTTTCTTGCCCTCTAAAGTTGTTCTGATACACGGGATCCTGTACTGGAGTATCTGGGTAGTAATGGGTCTCGTAGCACTAGGCTCTATCACTGGTTTAATCCTGCTGCTTTACTTGTGTATAAACAAGGGTGGTAAAGCAGACGAGGTGGCGCCCCTCTCCAGCTCCGAGGAGGAGGGGTTGAGGACCCAGTCCGTGGATCTGGCTAGCAGGAGGATGGAGCTGCTGACCAACTTGTACGATCACCCTGTGAGGAGCCCCAGTATGAGGATCACCAGGTCAATGAGCCGCAGTCGAGAGGGACTAGAGTCCATGAGACAGCGACAGAGAACTCAATCTGGGGATACGCTGGACGGAGTTCTTAGCAGGCAGAACACTCCTTCCAGAGACCCGTTCCAGGGGGTTGAGAGGGATTATGAGAGGGATTATAGACAGAACACTCCCTCCAGAGACCCGTTCCAGGGTGGTGAGAGGGATTATAGAGAGCGAGCAGAGTCCGGAGACCTGGTACAGGACGACAAGGAGCACAGACAGAGGGCACAGTCGGGGGATGTAGTGCTGGATGATACAGTGAGTTCAAGCAAAGAGAGGCACACTTCCTGCTGAGACATGTTAAGATAGTTATAGGAGTTATTTTGATTTTTGTTTTTTATTTGAAAATGGGTTTTTTATTACTTTCATTTGAGATACCATGAATATGTTACAATAAATAAATTAAAATCTATGAACTGAGTCTAAGTGATGATGATTATATTTATGTACCTAGATATAATTGGGAACATTAATTTCTTTTGTAAACCCGTTTTTAATTTAGTTATTTATAATAGTTACATAGCGATGACCGAGATTTTTAAATTAAAAATCTGCTCCCGTGTCGGAAGTCCATTTGCCGCTTCGGAATTCAGTGTGCCGGGATTCCGTGCGAACCTTTTTCCTAACTGGAGTTCAAATTGAGTAGTGATGAGTACGAATCGGAATTCCGTGGTTGTACCAGATATTTAATTTTTGTATTATTTATTTGTCGGTTGTACGAGAGTTTGAGAAAGAAAGCTTATGATAAAAAAAACCAATCTTAGTCCTTCTTTGACCCCTATTATTTAACTCCCTTGTGAACGGTGGGTCTTTATTTTACTCAAATTTTAAATTATATTTTCTCATCGTGACTTCTACTCAATCTAAATTACGGAAAATTATTTCTATATTACAAAAAGAAATACTATATTCGATGAAATAATTCAGCAAAGATAAATACAGCTACAGTCTCATGACTCATAATAACTTACGCTAAACATTCAAAAGTTCAAATGTAAATCGCAGACCATTGAACGGTAGTAAATGTGCCATGTTATACTTACATAACGATGTGTGTTGTTCCATTAATAATGTCAACTTCTTCCAGACACAGAATATGCTTCCTTGTTTTGTAGGAAACTCGTATCCTGATGCCATCTTATTCTTAATCTTATTTGAATATTACAATTATCTACTTTAGAATGATCGGATTCACCTCAATCAGTTCCGTCCTTTTCTTCAATGATATTTTTGCGGTCTCTATAGTCGTGACTGTTGGTTGTTCTGAACGACTCTGTTTTGACAGACTTCCACCTCTGGTTGGACCTTGTTTTGTCTCAATGACTTCCTGATGCTTGACAGAGTACCTTCTCTTAGAGGAGGCATTCTCCAGAAGTAGATGATTGGGTTAGCAGCTGAGTTTGCAGCTATGAGTAAAGTGTGCATTGCGTTGTAGTAGTAGTATTGGGTACCAAACTGGTACAACTGAAAATACCACATGATTTTGTCAGTGTGCCTCGAGTATGTTGCCAAGGTGAAATCAACAGCCTTGGGAATGTTGCAGACTCCGTAGAGCACAGCGAACAGTAGGATGGTTACCGTCGCTCTGTTCCTTGACCGTTGAAGGTCTTTTTGCTCCACGTGTTCCTTTTTTCTCGTCAGTAAAATGGCTGAAATGGCACAACTGGTTGCCACAACAAAAGTCGGAGCCACGTAGGTTAAATTTCTAAAAATCTCTAATGCAAGAAGAGCACCTTCAGTCGGTGTATCAGAAAGCCCAATAACAAAGTCGCATCTTGCGCTAAGATGGGAGAACTGTACTTTCATACCCTTCTGCTTATTGAAGGCTATCATCACAACCAACACTAACACGCAACACAGTACTACAGCCACAATGAAGTGCCTCACTTTCTGTAGTTTAAATGGCCTTAGCAGTGAAATTGTCCTGCTTATACTCAGGCACATTACAAGGAAGATGCTGATCGTGACAGCTATATTCCATACGTACACCCACACTGCACAGCCATATTCACTCCCAAATAGAGTGCCTGGTTTTCGGTTTAAGAAGAATGAGATTCCTACCGGGAGTACCGTTAGGCTGATTACTGCGTCATTGATTGTTATCATCATGTAAATGACGTTTGAAATGTCCCTCTTCTTTGACCAGAAGTATCTGAAACTGGAAAGGTTCCCCACTGTCCCAAAAAAGAAGCAGAGACAACAGATAAACCCGTAGGTTATATCTGCTGCCTGATTAAAATGTTGTTCATTCCCATCCATATTGTTTGATATTGATAATCCTGCACAAAATATTACATAGATTTGATATAAACTCATGAAGGTGAATAGTACAATTTTTTTTAAATACCAAAACGTGGTTTAGCCAGGTTTTAGCACACTCAAGAAGATTTTTTGTTAAAAAATAGTAAAAGTTTCCTAAGCAAATTCTGATTTTATGCTAATAAGAGTCATCTATGATGAAGGAAATAAGAAACTATCGTAATGCAGCTTAGTGCTTACCACAAATATAAGACAGTATTAACTAAATTTCTAGAACATACTCGAAGTGTGCCATGGGCCGTTCTAGTGAACGTATTTCATAAAGAATGGGTCCTGAAAAGAGGACCACCAAATTAGTTTTACACGATAAAAGTAGACTTCTAGAATAGAAGAGCAAGAGAAGATACAGCATCTCCCAGCAATCTCCCTGTAATCTTGATACAAGTAGCAGACTCAGTTCTTTCGGGACAATAAGTTCACCATCGTAATACTAATGAGCTGTCAGGCTAGATTACTTGGATAAGAGAGAGTTGAAAGAATCAACGGCATAAACCAACTGAATATATGTATATAACTGAATATGTATAACGTTCACTTCTCTCGTGATGAATATTCAATCTTATAGTTGTACCTTTTAAACGGATAATTCCATAGCAAGCGCCGTTTTTATAGAAATTGATGAAACAAGTACGTACTCAATATTCAATATTCATAAACCGGGTAGATTGAGGAGAAATTAGCTAAGGATAGTATATAGCAGTCTCTGAATAGTGATGGTAATCCAGACAAAGATATCTAGGTGCGCTCACTAGGCTCTTCTTCACCTGGACTTCAGGAGAGTTTATTTTCGATGGTTCTAGTCGATCTAACCGCTAAGCTAGCCGATCAGGATTCAGGACTGACTAATCGGCTAGCGGCTTACGATTGTGGTCGTATAGAACATTTAATCGTCCAAATTAGGATTTGAATAGTGATGGTAATCCAGACAAAGATATCTAGGTGTGCTCACTACTCTTCTTCACCTGGACTTTAGGAGAGTTTATTTCTCGATGGTTCTAGTCGATCTAACCGCTAAGCTAGCCGATCAGGATTCAGGACTGACTAATCGGCTAGCGGCTTACGATTGTGGTCGTATAGAACTTTTAATCGTCCAAATTTAGATTTTCATTCAACTTTACAATGCATGCATTAGATATAACAATTAGCTTCTGAGCGTTTAAACGTGTAGGTTATAAATATTATTCGAATAAAAATATTACAATTTCGTCAATATTCATGTTAGGAATTAAATTCAGTGACAAAAATTGTAAATGGTAACAAATCCAAAACAAAGAATAGATGCATCATCTTTATCAAAACATTCAGTTAAGTTTGTAGAAAAGCAATATGCTCAATGATCATTGTTTTCTTGATCCGTTAGTACCCTCTTTGCTGTCAACTTCTAAGACATTGCTGGAGAATTGCATGGAAACTATTTGTTTTCTTACGTTTCTACCCGAGTCATTTGTACCTCCAGAAGCTGCTGCCTGTTCTTTCAAAGAATCCTCCTCAAACTTCTGCCTCATCATTGAAACCCTGCTGACTGTTTTCTTAGTGTTCGCACTTCCTGTGTTGGTTTCAATAGCTCCGGATACTTGTCTAACTTCAGCGTTGGAGTCCAGGACTCCCTCCCTTTCACTTACGACAAGTCCTGAAGGAATGATATTCCTACACTCCTCTGCTGAAGTAACCGCAACATCAGGTACAGAGGTGTAGGTATCAGTGGAAATAACTGAGGTCTGGGATGTTGTCCTGGTGGTTCTCACCGGAATACTTTCCTCCCGCTGTTCGGCTGCTCTAACATGAGGATCCCGGTACCCTGGGTTCTGGACAGATATCTCCGGGTAACTTAAGGACCCTAGAGTGGCGGAGGAACTGTAAATGTGCTCCTCCTGGTCCGTGTAGAACACACTGGGGTTAGGTTGGGGGATCTGGAACACAGCAGGAGTAAGGTTTGTTACCAAGGACTCTGGAAGATTCTTTCTCACTCTCGAGGAAGTGTGTTGTGGTAGATCCAGAGATGAGTACAAATTGTCATCTTCCTCCTCGCCCTTGTCTAAGTAGAATTTACTAGTTGGTTGTTTTTCTGCGTCCGAGGCGTCAGAACCACCAAACAGTGAGTGTCTAAATGATTCAAACCACCCTGACTCACGCTTATCCTTTGTAGATACAGCGCTGGTGATTATTTCTGACACAGCCCGTTGTCGTCCTCCTCCCCTGTTTCCTCCTCCTCCCCTGTTTCCTACTTGGTTTCTTCGTAACAAAACGAAATCCTCAAAACGAGCAGTGCTCTCTGAACCCCGGGTAGAGGAGATTTCACTGCCAGAGTCCTGAATAGTAGTGGCTCTGGAACCGGAGTTATCAGACATATTACCGGTACTTCTTGACCGGTCTGATCTGACAGCTGGAAGTTGCAGACCAGAACTGAAGCTCACTCTGTCTAGCTCAGTGGAGTCAAACAATGATGCGGGGTCCCTGTAGATAGTGTCCTCTACATCAGGTGGAGCTGGAGGATAGGAAGGTTGTCCGGAGACTGATACCGAGCTCTTAAATGTATTTACTGACGGCCCCATGTCATGGGTAAGATCTGGAGGGGGTTCTAATTCTGCACTGTTATCAGCCCCACCTGGTGCGAAGGTGGCTTCTTTGCTCCTTTCCAACAGCTCATCAGGAGTGAGATAAGTTCCTTTTCTCCGAATAACATTCTCATAACAAGGATCTGATATAATGGGTCCAATTTGAAGGTTATCAAATGTGTCGCATTGTCTTAATTTAGTGTGACCTGATATCGTCTCCTCCTGAAGAGTACCCTCCTCGTCCTGTAACTCAGTTATATTAATAGTCGACACAGACTCTAAGTTTCCCTCTGTCTCCTCACATATTTCTCTAGAAATGTTTTCGTATAAAGGTTGCTCTTGTGATTTGTCTGCGGGCATGACACTTGCAAATGGGAATGTTTGTTGCGCAGGTTGTTGCCATTCACCCAGAGGTTTTACTGTCTGATGTTCACCTGAGTCTGGCTCTGAAAACTTGATTTTAACATCTGAGAGTGTGTCCTTGAGAGCAAAAGAACTTAGAGTTTGTTTGGGGACCAGCTTTTGGTAAAGATGCGGTATTAGAATTGGTTACTCCACGTTTAGGTTTAACAGGTGGTCGGGAAGAAGAAGCTCCTCCACCAGAGGGAGCTCCTATCTGTACTGGTTTGAAGTTGGTGTTGGTGGAGTTAGGGGGGTTTGGAGGGATTCTTACAGCTGCGTTACTTCGCTTCATTGGTCGGGTATACCTGATAAGTGCAAATCAGAAAAATATTTATCAAAATCGAACACCTACTCTCCTAGTACTGAACCGATATCTACTCACATACTACCCAGAGATTGTTATCAGTACCACTGTTAATATATTACATATCAAATTACGTTAAATTTCTTACAGAATTTAAAAAAATTGCGAAGACTAAATCTCACAAACAAGTTCGAATTTAACCTAACCCTAACGTTTTGTCACTTTTTTATCAGATGAATTTCAAAAGTTTACTGCCACGACTTTGGCTATCAAGTAACAACTCAAAAAAGCAGCACTTTCACTTTGAGCCAGATTCTCGACTTTTCTGATGAAACTGTTTTGCAATACATCAACAAAATGACAGTCATCTACAACCAAACTCATTATCTCAATCAAACTCATCAACACACAAAATGAAGCTAGTAGCAGCGACTAAAGGATGATGTAAACATTACATCCGTCACACTAACTCACTAACTAGTAACAAAAGACAAAACTTTGAAATACAACACGCGACTGAGTTTCGTGTTGGTAAAATAAACGACAAAGCAATGATAATTTCATGACGTTTGAGAGTGTAGAAGTAGGAAGTAAAATTGGAGATTTTTAATATCTTGCAATATGAATATCTGACTAATCACACATAGTGTAGACATGTTTGCCCCTTGGACATCTGCCAAGAATGAAGAACTGTAAACGAATGGAATGTGTACATTTATATTGCACAGCGCACACACAGAACACAGCGTAACAATAAACACACAGAGTACTACAGTCTACACTATATCCAGCTAACATTGTACACTGCGTTTGGTCATTGAGTTAAAACGCCACTTGGGGCTCAATGGTAGAACTAATATTGGTTCAATCATCAATGAATCTGTCAAGAAAAATTTGCAGATTCTCTTCATTATATCACTCTTCGTATCACTCTTCATATCACTCTTCATATCACTCTTCATATCACTCTTTGATTACTAGCTGGCTACTTTGTTTGACACAACATGATACAGGTTCAACAACAAAACTACAAAATCAGACTCAACAATTCAGGAATAATAAAAATGGTAACAACATAACATTTTTAACGGTCATATTAATCGCAGAAGAAAATTATGAATATATTTCACTTCCAATGCAACATTAGTCTAACAAAGATAAATAGTCTTTAAAATCTGGTTATCAACTTAATATATCTCAAATTCATTACCTTATTTAGACATCGAGTTTATTGTAGTCAAAATATCAGATAACAAGTAAAATCACTATCTTTTTTATTTTAATCCTCTAAGTCTGGTGGCGCAGCCACATTTAATATGAGAAACTCAAATATAGCAGTCCCCACTTCGCTTATTGATAAGTTGATATAAAGAATATAAAAAGAGTCCACTACAATTTTCCCGGTCACAAGAAACTATCCGCAGAAGTTCTAGCAGGGTCAGGGTCGATATTGAGGTCTGCTCTCCTGATCGATGAAGGAGTCACCCTGCCAGGAGTAATCCGCCCAGGAGTCACTCTACCAGGAGTAATCCGCCCAGGAGTCAGTATCCCAGGTATGTTCCCTCGGCCGGGTGAGATTTCCTCTTCTACTAGATATCTGTTCAGACTTTCATTCAGTTTGGATTTCATCAGCTGCCACGTGGCGTTGGCGTCTTGAGTCGCTCTGAGGCAGTATATTAGTTGGTTGAGTATACAAATATAGAGAAGCTCAAAAAAATTAGTTTTTAAAATGTGACTTTAGGATTTAAACTGCACTATCATTGCCTGTCCGAAAATAAGTTGATTGATGGTTGGAGCAAATAAAACTGATTCAGACCCTTGTTTCACACGTGTTAGACACGTGTTAGACCTTGAACCAACCTGACGTTAGAATTGTCGCCTTGTCTAAAAGGAGCCCGGGGAGTAGAGTTAAGAGAGAGACGAGGTACAGGTGTTTGATCAACAGCAAAAGAGGGCAGTAGTCTCTCCATCGCCCTCCTCTCCTCCGCAAGAATCTGTTTTAACTTCTCATTCTCCAGCTGGATGTTAGAGAGTTGTTTCTCTCTGTGGTCGAACTGATCTAGACAGTCTGTAACCTGATATTGTGTATATAAGATTACAGTTTCTGCTCGGGCCGTCTCCAAGGGTTTTGTTGAAATCAGAAATGTTTTACGTTAATCTGCGATCAAAATAATAAAGAATATCTAAAAAGAACAACGTCAGAATGTGAGTTTAGACTAAAGCACATATTTGCAAGACTTTTGAAACACCCTGTACCTTTTGTTTTAGCTGTCTGTTACTCTTTTCAAGATCTTCACGAATTTTAGACTCAGTAGTGGACCTAATAGAGTCAATAATGTGTTATTAATTAATTAATCATCTTTACTACGACTCTAATCATACTTATGTCTTTAGGGGGATGATATTTTCAAAATCTGACAACTGAAGGTCACTCACTTGAACTTGTCCATCGCTTCTTTAGATTTGTTGTCTTGGTCCCACTTTTGGTTCATTTCTTGTAGCCTCTTGTTGTATTCCACCCTATTTCGAGCTTCCAGATTCTTCTTCGACATTTCAACCTCTCTCCTGAACAATTTTCATATAAATATCATTCTCATTTTAAGGGTCAGACAGCTCAGTCGACTGGTACAATGACTAAGTTAGCTGGTCAGTCTGCAAAACCTGCGTCCTTAACAACGGTCATAATAAAACACAATACGTTAGGTTCTACCTGAGAACGTAATCAGTCCTTAACGAAGTTTCCAACTCAGTTTTCTCCTGAGTAACAGTAGCTTTCTCTTTCATCAGTGACTCGTACTGAGCTTTTAAACGCTCGTTATCAGCAAGAAGTACTGTCATTTTCCCCTGTAACTCTCCTATTTCGCTCTTAACCCTGCGGTACAGTATTATCAGTGATATAATGTCTTCAGAAAACACTGGGTGGTTGCGAGAGGGTAAGTTGGAGAACAAGGATTGTTATTTTATCTCCTGAGCTGTGAGTCAAACAGTAATTTTGGAAGCTTTTCGTTTAACAACCACGTTGCTTCTTAAAGTAATAATGCGAGTCTCATTAAATAATTAATCAGCTGACTAGTAAATCGATTACTTGATTAATTAGATAATTGGATGATCAATGATACTTACATAATGTATTTATCAGTGAGCTCCTTTCTCTGGGCGGCCTCCTCCTTTACAAGAAGTTGAGCTTTCTTAACTTTCTTTGTCAAATCATCTTGAATCTTGAAGTAGAACAATGTGTAAGTCGTTATTATAGAAGAGTTCACGATCACACGACCTAAACCAGAATGGAAATTCACCCTGTTTAATTTTGTTAGTCACAAATTACAATTGTGCACAATGCTATCTTATCATTCATCGTTCCGAATTAACCGGTTCCTGCAAACAATCACCTTTTTAAAGCTCTCTCGATCCGCAGCTAGTTTCTGTTTCAGTGACCTTATCTTATCTTCGTGTTGTCCAGCATTAGGTTGCGGTCTTGTAGCCTCCTGGAAGTGATAATAAATCAGACAATAGAAACACAACATATAGCCATAGGAAATATCCTACCCCATATAATCATTGTGTCTTTGCTGAAACTGAACCTTAGAAAGAAAATCCTTTTAACTTAAAAATTTAATCCTTCGACACATCATGTAGGACGATACGATAAGTTGACGAGAACTAAAGAACTTCTAAGAAACATATAAATTAACTCATCATCACTCCTCTCCCTTACCTCGAGCTCCTCTCTAAGTTTCCTTCTGGAAGTCTCACCCTCCTCCACACTAGTCTTCAGTCTCTCCACCTGTCCGCACAGCACCTCGCACTTCTCCTCCAACTTCTCCGCTTTCTTCCTCTCGTTCTCCAGCGCTGTTTCCTGTTTGTGTGCGAGATTTATGGTAAGACTTGCTTGAGGAATACACCAAGTCAAATGATAAGAGTTAGAAGAAAACACAAATAGTTTGAATTACAAGAAATGGAAGGTTTTATTGTGATAGAATTAGAAAGAAACCCACATAGTTTGAGTTAGAAGAGAGTTGAGAGCTCATGTGAAGTCGGAGTTTAGCTTCACTACTCAGCATCTGCTCTTTCTCCATCAGTTGCTTCTGGAAGGCTATCTTCTCTGTCTCCTGGAGTTAATACAGAATCAACACAGAGTTTTCAAAGTTAGCCATACTTTGTAGCCAATCAAATCACGGTTTATATTTTCTACACTGACACTTCATTTGCAACTCAACTACAGCGTGTTATTTTGATCTCGATCGTTAATTTATGATTCTAATCAATTTTTTTGGTAGCCTCCTTTCATTTCTCAGTAGAGTTTTTTACTATACCTGCTGTTTGGAGTTTTCTTTGAGTTTCTCAATCTGTTCTTTAAAAGTGGCAATAGAGCTGTTAAGTTTTATTATGCTTGATCTCTCGATATCGTGCTCCGCTGACAATCTGCAGTATTTATCCCTTTCTACTTTCAGTATCTCTTCTAACCTAGACATTGAGAATGATCAGGTGAGTTAAACAAACATTTTAATTTAAGACTGATAATAAAAATTCCTGCCGGAACTTAACCGGCATTGTTCTGTTCTTACCTTGTTATGTCATTGCTAGCCTTGTTGTTCAGGGACTGAACATCTCCCATCTTTTCTTTCGTATCATTTAACAAATCTGTTGTATTTTTGATCGCCTGAAACAGTTTACTCTTGGTTAATTGAATGGGTAATCACTTCTAAATTATGGCAACTTCAACAAAATGTGAAGGCTTATGGAGTTGCTCAGGTGAAAGATGGGTGGTACATTGTACAACCATTCTAAAACTGGGTTAGACTTCGGATCACAGAGCAATATAATTATAATAAACTATAATGAAATCATTACTAACTGATTAGAGTTATCGGAGAATCATACGAATTTTGGAATTTTTAACATTTTAAATAACATTAAACAACAAACCAGTTCAGTGGCGGACAACTTTTCCCGCTCAGTATCAAGATTAAACTTTAGTTGAGTAGCAGAGTTATCCAGGATAATTTTCTCAGATCTTAGTTGTTGGACCTCCCCTTGCAGAGCCATGAATTTCTCGTAGAGTTCTCGATATTGCTGCGCTGCCTCTTCCGAAATACCGGTAGGTACTGGCACTGCACTAGTTGATACCTGGAGCATTATTTTTAAAACGATAGTTTTTGTAGACCCAGTAGGCTACATCTAAAAAAAAAAAAAAAAAATCAAAGTTCTAAACAAGGGATAGTTAAAAAAACAACGCCCAAGTCTAATCTTTCCCTAAAACAAAAACTAAATATTAAAAACTTCATTGCAATTTCCGCCAATATCTCTTGTCATAACTCAAATTACGGAGATAATGCAGGTCAAAGATATTATTCAAATAAATATTTCTTTTACATAAATCATGCACAATCAGCGAGAATAGATTGCTTTGGGGTCTTCCTCTTCTCCCTGGTAAGTCCAGTGTATTGATGGCAAAAATGAGGGAAGAAAACGCTGGTCCGTCAACAGGACCCCGCAAAACATGTCCTAGCATTCTCCACCGACTACGGGCCACTTTGTCTGACAATGGTTCAGCATTGCAGCGTTTATACAAGTTTTTGTTGGAGATGACTCCTGGGTACTTTATATTCAAAATAGTGCGAACATGTCTGCGGTGAACAACATCTAGTTTTTCAAGGAATATTTTCGGGACGGCCCAACAGGATGAGTTGTACATAAGAACCGATACGACTAAGGCATTATACAGTATTAGACGTTTGTTTAGGGGCAGTTTATCACTCCAGGCCTTCTTGTAATTGTTAAAGGCAGCATATCCCAGGTTTATGCGACGCTGAATATCAGCTTTGCTACACAAGACGGACCCTAGAGTGATACTTTTCCTCCATGCTTCATTCCCCGACACTAATTTTCCATCACTGTCGACTTCACCCGTACTAGCTAAATAAACATGAGTGAAGTCCGTTTTGTCTTCATTGACAAAGAGGTTCCATTTCTCGAGTATAGCTGTTGCCTGGGGCAAAATAGCTCTCAAGTTGTCTTCCTCTTCATCATTGAAGTCAACATCATCAGCATATTCAGTGTCAAGTGGAAGGCCAGCAATAGTAATCGGGGGGATCGGCCTATCTAAACTGATTGTTATAGTCCATCTAAGTTCATTCAAAGCACCAGCCAAGACAAGGGTGAACAGACAGCCGGATAGACAGTCACCTTGGAAAGCTCCAAGGAGACTTAAAAACTCAGCTGAAAGAACTCCATTTACCTTCACCCGTAGCTTTGTGTTGGACAACAACAACCGGACAATCCTCAGCTCATCCTCAGTACAGCCACACAGTTTCAGGAGTTCAAGAATCGTAGTGCGTTTGATCGTGTCAAACGCACTAGACATATCAATGCCCATGCGATGATACTCCCATTTCTTCCTTTGGACAACTGACAGTAGAACTCGCTGACACCAAACAATATCAGCACAAGAACGAGCGCGTTTATATGCACACTGCCATGGACCAGTGAAGGCGTTCACTTTTTCTTCTATCCTTTTAAGAGTAGCCATAGACAGAATTTTTCTGGCTGCATTGGACAAGGTGAGTGGACGTAAATTCTTCAGGGGACCAATAGGTTTTTTAGGCTTCTGTAAGGGTGTTATAGTAGCCTCTCCAATGGAAATGGGGAAAGTATGTGTCTCGAAACAACTGTTTATGATTCCAGCATAATGTTCATGGACTGTACTATTAGAGTACTTAATAAGCTCGTTGGGTATTCCATCGGGACCATTTGCCCTCCCATTTTTCAAGCTAGAGGTGGCTGCATGTATTTCAACTCCAGTAAAAGGGACATTGAGAGCACGTGGTAGACCCTCAAAAGGCTCGAGAGGTTGCTCATTGCGAGTCAGCTGTTTTTCGAGATAGTCTCTAACAACAGAAGCTTTCATGTCGTCAGATGCAATCAAACAGCCATTTTCATCATGAACACCAATCGAGTTATTAGGTGGTTTACTTTTCTGAAGATGTCTTACTGCTTCAAACATTTTCCTTGAATCGTTTGTGTTAGTAATATCACTATAGGTCTGATCAGCTTGAGCAGACCTCACTTCAACTAATCTTTTCTGGATACTATTAGTGAGGTGGTTGATGGATGACCTCAATGTAGTTCGATCAAGAGATTGATTATTGTTAAGTAGCTGTCGGAGATCGTGACGCTTTTCAACAAGCTCTTTGAGAGTGTCATCACTGCTGTGATGTTTCAAGCGAGCTTTAGGTTTTGGGCCGATGGAAACATTGGCAGCATCACGAATATGAGACATAAGATTTTGAAGGTCGGCATTTGGATCGTTGCTGGTCACAAAATTTGAGAACTTGCCTTGAAGGGCCAAGTGATATTTATGTTGCATATCTTTGTTGCTTACAAGTTCTGATATATTATAAGAAGGAACACGACGTTGTTTAGGTTTGAAACAAAGATGAATGTTGCTGAAATTGATGCGAGCAATGACAAGTCTATGATCTGAAAATGTTTTAGTACCAGCATAAGTTCTTGATTGAGTCAAAAGACACTTAGATCTATTTCGGCATAGTATGTAATCTATTTGAGAGTATACAGGCAGTGTCTTCTTACTGTACCGACCAGCCGACCAATCCTTCCGCCAACCAGTAAATGATGTAACACGTCTGCTAGGTTGTATAAAACTAGTGTTCACAGCAAACAGATTATTTTCTGAGATAAAATCCAGTAATCTAGAACCATTTTCGTTCCTTTCTCCCATTCCGTATTTCCCCATATATCTACCAAAACCCTGTTCAATATCAGAAAGGGATAATTTACCCAGTTTTGAATTAAAGTCACCCAGAAATTGCAACTCCACATTAGAGGGTACATTCTTGGCCTCTCTTAGCTGCCCATAAAAGTTATCCAAAACAACTGGATTTTTACGGACTAGCCCCTGATGTGGACAGTAGGCATTGATCACCCTGCAACGTAGGGGTGTACCGCTACGTGAGGGGATGCAAATATCGACATAGCATACCCGGTCACTGATGTACTTCCAGCAAACCACATAGTTCATCATGCGAGGACTGATTATAAAACCCAAGCCTCCATGGCGACTGTCCAACTGCTCGAACAGAAACAAGTTAAAACCGTTGCGCAAAACAAGGCTGTCTGATTCGGTGACTTTAGTTTCCTGCAGAGCGCAGATGTCGACATTGTACTTTTCACAGTCTAATCCTAGTAACTCACGTTTACTATGTAGGCTATCATCTTGCTGAACACCGAGCCCACGGATGTTAAATGTGGCGAAGCTGATCATTAATGCAATGGTTGTTGATACAAATGATTTCTTCTTCGGGTTAAATATGTTGGAGTTGGCGTCACCACCGTCTCCACCGCTGACATTACTCGAACGGACCATCTGTGTTTTTTTTTTTTTTTTTTAAGATTCTTTGACAGGTACAATTAGAAACGGAAAAATATTGTTAGATAAGAAAATAATCACCTTCTCTTCAGACCGTTTACTAATCTGACCCTTAAGAGCGACAATTTGAGACTCTTTGTTATCCCGCTCAAACTTTACTTGCTTCATTTCACTCTCTAGACAGTAAATCTTCTCTTGAAGTTCTTCCTTTACAACGCTTATCTCTTCGATGTGCTGAAATAAATTCCTCGTTTGACTCACTAGTCAGCTATGATGCAGTTGTCGGTTATCCATATTGTATCGAACTAACCCCCGCTATCATTGCGAGATAATATATTCTTTTAAAATTAGCATGTGGTTTAAAAAATATATTTTCGGTATATTCATCACGTCGTCATGAGAGATGAACTTAATTGATTTCTATCTGGTGCTAAAATGGCGAGTATAGCACGGGACAGTGTAGTTCTTTGGTATCACATTGTTGAGTCATCACTCATCAATAACGAACGTTTTTGGGTTTGTAAGTCAATACATTTCTATCTGCTTGACCGACGGGGCTGCTATTATATTATATATTATATAATATATAACATTACTGTCGCAGTCGGTGCTTAAAAGTCAAACTTTTATCAATATTTTAATTTCGCGCGTTACGTTTTATAATTTTGCGCGCTGTGACAATAGCTTAAATTGTGCTCATTAGAAGGAACCCACTAGCTTCTGACTTGTGGGTTCATCTTGAATTAAGCGTCCTAAATTCCTAATGTCAAAGATGCGATAGGTTCGATTAGTAGCATCGTATTCGAGAGTTTTTAAAAACTTTGAAATGGGTTTCACACAAATTCAGAAACAGCTTAAAATGTGTAGCGCTACAGCGAAAAATCTCTGAGAAATACCTTGATCTGATCGCCATGGAGTTTCTGTTGCAGTTCAGTGAGCTTATCCAGGAGTTCTTTATACAGCACTTCTTTCTCTTTCACTTTTGACAAGCTTTCATCAGATTTCAGTCTGATGTTCTTGTTGTCTTCTTGAATGACCGTTATTCTCGTCTTTAAGTTTTCAATCTCCGTGAAGCGCTCTTGAGATGTGGTCTTCAGCTCGTTCAGTTGGTGACTCATCACACTATTATCCGTTTTTAGAACTCCTGAACATTAATAATAAGCGCTCTTCTGAATGCGGAACAATCCAATTATAAAGTACGAAAATCACACTACAAAAACTTAGTTTAAAGTATTAAGTTTAAGAAAACGTACCGATTTCCTCGGTAAGCCTCTCGTTACTGTTAGTTTTATCAGCCAAACTGGTCTGTAATCCTCTGACCTCGTGTTCCATCTTAGCTAGCTCCTCTCTGGATCCCTCCAACTTCTTCCTCAACACCTGATAAGGACAGTGTTAGTTGTCACATGACATATCCTAGCTGTCACGATATGTTAGTTGTTACATACCATTTGCATGAAAGGGAGTTCTTTGCAATCATTGTTTTTCACGATGAATTGTCATGGAGTTGAAGGCGATTTAAATAAAGGTAGGATTAAATTAGACAATCTTCAAAATATATCAACAAAATACAAAACATAATTGTAATCCAAACACGATAATTAAAGTAGAGGCACAATTTAAATTTAAAAAATCGAATCATTGTAATTGAGAATTTTGCGATGACTGATATGTCTACTCGTGACGTTGAAGGTGGTCCGAATGCCAAACATATGCCAAATAAATGTAACTAACTGTGATAAGTGCACCAACAAAACATTTTACGGCTTCTAAAACCGGGGATGATATTGGCGCAGAATGTAGATGTTCATAATATATCCAATCGATTGTTATTTGTTCAACACGTTTCATCATTATCACATCAATTAATCATACTATATTTTTATCTTTATTATTATATAAAACGTTACATATTTCATCTAACGTTATGCACTATATTACTACAGTACTAGTGCTATCTTTTGAAGTAGGCACTAAGTAGCGTCACTGTTAGTATCACTGACATGGACAGTGACTTGTTAGAAGATGATCAAACTTGACAGTGGCTCACGTAAAACGTGAACGGTCTGTTAAAGTTTTCAAACGGACAATTTTGTTCATTGGTCCAATACCACAGTCTCAGCATGTCTAAACCAGAAGGTAACTCTTCTCCAGTACTCTAGATACCTCCTCCTCAACTCTTCCTTCCTGCAGATCAATATAACTGGATACAACGTTGCGTATATTAGAGGCAGAGTGAACTCAGTGAATCCTATCATCACACCTATATCTGCCGATATTTTATCCCATTTGATTGAGTTCCTTTTGATGATACAACCAACGGCTGCTAAGGCATACATAGTATTACATATGAAGAAGAGGACTGATGTAAAGAAGACTGTTATGGAAACGTGGCGGGAAGTGTTGGGCATCAGTAGGGTAGCTTCCTCTTCTCGTAGAGATCTCCTCAAGTAGATGACCTGTATTATCATACAAACAAGAACTAATATCGGAGGACCTAACAAAAAGACAGCTGCAACTGATCCACAAAAGTCTACTTGTAGAGCCCTTTGACTCTCTGTCTTCAAATGGCTACATCCCGACATGTCAGACAGGCAATACAAGCTAGCAGTTGTTAGACCTCCAGGAAGAACAAATCCAAGCAAACAGTAAAGATAAAGGTAAGGATGCATAATCGCATCAAAATTTACTAAACTCGGTTTGAATTCTACAACAATCACTACGATTAAATCTAAAATATTAAGCAGTAATATAGCGCTACAAAAGTAAGTCGCCACTCTCTTAACACGATCATTGTCGAGTCTGCTGAAAGGGTTTACCACTTTTACAGTGATAACGACAGTCATCACTAGATTGAACACCTTGGACCAGTTGACACCAGGGAGGGCTGTTAGCATGTAGTAAACCAAGCTCTTATAAAGAACAGTCACCTCAACCAGTCCTGTGTACGCTAGGATACTAATCATTGAGAGTACCAACTCTCCTTGTGCTCTGAGAATGTCAGACAGGGCAATACCCATGAACAAACTAGGGATCAACTTCTTTCTGTCCTTATAATAGTTGGCGAAGATGACAATGTTTTGGATCATCACTATCACGCTCAAAGGTATGGTGAGAGGGGCTAGGTAGAAGAATGCTCCTTTGAATATGACAAATACGTCCGAGTCAGGAATGTATTTTAAGCTTGACTGATTCATAATAGCGCTGGTTAAAGGGAAATCATGGTTAAAGTAATATTGAAGATAGACTAGACACTCGTACGACGTACAATTATTAATCAAGTCTAAGATAGCAATTGGCAATTAAAAGTTAAATCAAAGTAAGCAAGTAAGAAATATTATAATATACTGAACGATGCAGATGGACATGATACTTAATAGAGAAAATTCACTAGCTAAGAGAAACTTTGGGAAGTGGGAGACGGTGAGTAATGATACACTATAATATATAAAGAGGGGGGATGGTCAGTACTCAAGATACTATTCTAGGAAAGGCATGCCATTCTTGCCTTGGTGCATTCCGTGGAAATACCATGTTTCTTCAGAATACCTAAAGTATTATTATATCTTAGGGTCATGATGTAAAACCTTCTGGAATAAAAACCTGAAAAGCTTGTCCTTCTTTTACTAAACACAGGTTATATTTGTTGTATCAAACTCCTAACCTTTACCCGTGTAGATACCTTAATATTAAGTTAGGGGGAAAGCAAACAGCTGCGGTAAATCGGGATTCGCAATAAATAGGAGAGAGGTAAATTGAGGTTTTACTGTAACAGGAACTATCTAACTAACTCTAACGCCTTCTCACCTCGTGTTTATTTTCGTTGTTCTTCATGTCGTTTTTCATGGTTCGGATTTCCTCTTTGAACGCATCCCGCTGCTTTCCCATCTCGCTGAAAAACAATCGTACTGTAAGTTATCTCTCAGTTTATTAACAATATAACTAATAATCAGCAGTCAGGTCCCAACTGGTGATTAAATCCAAACTAGCCATCTCCTGACGAAACGTTAGAATACCTCTGGAAACTGAGAGATGGTATTCTGAGTTCTGACCACTTACATCTCGACATCATTTTTCTCTTTGATGAGCTGGTTCCTCTCTTCTGTTAACTTTTCATACCTCTGTACATCCTGCTCTTTTTCTTCCTCTAACTGATGGTTTAAGAAGATAAGACAAATGATTTGTTAAGCCGTAAAAAGGTGATTTAAGGATATCGTATGTTTGAAATACGGCTAAATTCCAAATCAATTGCTAGTAATGAAATTACTAAGTAGAATGTGTGACGAAACACAAATGACCTTTTAAAAATCTGTACTTAGTCTGTGTTAAAACTGAGTTAAAACTGTGTTAACCTGTGTTATCTTCTGATTGAGATGCCCAGAAGTAGCAGTGAGATGCCCCAGCTCTGTGTTGAGGGCGGCTATCTGCTCTGTATTTGTGCTACTAACCTGTTGTCCTCCTCGCTGTGTCTGAAGTTATATCCCAGTTTATTTCCACCAGTGTTGGATATTGATCTACTTGCTCAGGATAAGCCAATCCCTGGCTGCTCACAATTAATTACTCCTTCATAATCGGATCATTTCTGTCAATGGGTTTTCGTAATCTTAAACATCTAAGGATAACATCTAGGATAAGTCTAGGACTTAGGAGTACATTTGTAGAACGTTCTACAGTAAAGTAAACAACTAGACGTTCACACCAGGGACACAATATGTAACAATATGTTTCACACGTGGTTTGGTTTTTAGCTGTATTTTACAGGGGATGAAGAAATGTAGCATGTTAAATATGTTAAATATGTTAAATATGTTAAATATGTTAAATATGTTAAATATGTTAAATATGTTAAATATGTTAAATATGTTAAATATGTTAAATATGCACAGTGGGCTGTGAGTGGGGGTCATGCTAGCATAGGGTATTTTAGACCACCACACATGCCCCTAACTTTGTTTCTAAGGTAATTTGGGTACAAAAATACGATTCCAATCATTTACAGGGCCGAAAATGTCTCAGAAAAAATTTTTGGGCCGATTTTGAGCAATCTTGTAGTCCAAAAATAGGAGGCTGATCCCAGGAAAAGTTGTTTTTTTAGAGGTTTAATCAATTTTAAAGCTCTTTTATGAACTGTAAACGAAGGACAGCTATCTTAGGAACTCGAATCTTTTTGAATTATGAAAAAATATTGATCAGAACAAAAGTTGTGCCCATTTATATGACCAAAATTTTCTGAAACACCAAAATTGTTCCTGTTATTTTCAAAAATTTCGTTTAAAATCACGATTTTTTGGATTTTTATCAATTTTAACTATAATAATTGTGATATTTTGATTTTTCATCCATATGCATCTGGTCTAGGATGCAAAAAATGCCACAAACATGGAGAATAACTAAAATATGTCAATTTAATAGCAAAATTGAGCTCATAAATTATCTAAAAATGCAGCAAATTTTACCCAATTTTTGAGTTTCTTAATTTTGTAAACAGAGTTGCCCAAAAGTTCCCAAAGTGATTCTTATTGCATCTGATAGGGAATTGTCTAAGCTTTCTGATGATACCATGCATTATACCGAACTATTGCAAACCAACAACGATTTCTGTCGTTAAATACCCCAAAAATTGCCTAAAATACACGCCATAAAAAAGGCGCGGTCAAAAATCAGGTGAAAATGTTAAAGTCACACAGTTTTTTTTAGATGGCTGAGTATTCTTAAGTACTATACTATATTTCAATTATTAAAAACTGCCTTGATCAGGCATTTTAGCCCGAAATAATAAATATTAGGCAATTTTTGGCTAAAAAAGGCAAAATTTCTTGACAGTGAAAAATGCTATTTTTTCACGCGACGCCATTTTGGCATCTTGCAAAGTTTTTAATTACGGTTTCTTGCATGAAATCGGGCTAGCGTTTTACAATAAGGAAAGCTTATTTTCAAAGAAATTTAAGAAAGTCGATTTTAGGCCTATGCTAGCATGGTAGCCCACTGTGATATGTTAAATATGTTAAATATGTTAAATATGTTAAATATGTTAAATATGTTAAATATGTTAAATATGTTAAATATGTTAAATATGTTAAATATGTTAAATATGTTAAATATGTTAAATATGTTAAATATGTTAAATATGTTAAATATGTTAAATATGTTAAATATGTTAAATATGTTAAATATGTTAAATATGTTAAATATGTTAAATATGTTAAATATGTTAAATATGTTAAATATGTTAAATATGTTAAATATGTTAAATATGTTAAATATGTTAAATATGTTAAATATGTTAAATATGTTAAATATGTTAAATATGTTAAATATGTTAAATATGTTAAATATGTTAAATATGTTGAATATGTTAAATATGTTAAATATGTTAAATATGTTAAATATGTTGAATATGTTAAATACGTTAAATATGTTAAATATGTTAAATATGTTAAATACGTTAAATATGTTAAATACGTTAAATATGTTGAATACGTTAAATATGTTAAATATGTTAAATACGTTAAATATGTTGAATACGTTAAATATGTTAAATATGTTAAATACGTTAAATATGTTAAATACGTTAAATATGTTAAATACGTTAAATATGTTAAATATGTTGAATATGTTAAATATGTTAAATATGTTAAATATGTTAAATATGTTAAATATGTTGAATATATTAAATACGTTAAATATGTTAAATATGTTAAATATGTTAAATACGTTAAATATGTTAAATACGTTAAATATGTTAAATATGTTAAATATGTTAAATACGTTAAATATGTTAAATATGTTAAATATGTTAAGTATGTTAAATATGTTAAATATGTTAAATATGTTAAATATGTTGAATATGTTAAATACGTTAAATATGTTAAATATGTTAAATATGTTAAATATGTTAAATATGTTAAATATGTTAAATATGTTAAAGCTCGATATGATTGTTGAGTGATTGTTGGGGCCATGTTAGATAACAATATGACAATAATGAAATGACTGCTCTGACCCTGATATGGGAACATGGGTTATAGTGGCTGCTGGGAGTGAGTCGTGACAATGACTGTTGTATGATCAGGACAGCGTATCTGATCACTTCCTGGTAATCTGTCTGAACTTCCTCCAATAACCTTATACTCTCTTCCATAGCGGTCATCTTCTGACTGTTCTCCTCCTTAGATTCAATTATTAGGTTAGTTCATACTCATAGACTGGTGGTATTTCAAAAGTGATCTATTTAAACGAGTGCTACAATCGTTGAAAAGGTGGGTAATATATTGGATATCACTGCTGAAAGTTCCAGACACCTCGGTAGCAGAGATCTTGTTGCCCAATCTTGAGGACAATTCTAGAATCTCTGTTTTGTAGTGCATCGTCAACTCCTCTAATTTGACCTGTTAAAATAACGGAGTATACTGTAAAGGATATATAACTAGACATTTAATAAGTAAAATGTGCAAATACGATACCACAGAGCAATGTTCTGGGTGACCGACCATAGTTCTACCACAGTTGTTATTTGTATGGAACAGAAATTAATGAATTTGATTCTGGTTTTCATAATAGTTAACATTAGGAATGCCTGAGCTTGAGTATTTAACATATTATTAAGACCACCACGATCTGAACAATAGAACTGCTTTATAACGTAGTAGACATGCTGTTGCATACCTTGAGTTCTTGATTTCTGGACTCAATATCACGTATCTCATTCAAATATCGACATTCTCTTCCGCTCCACTTTATCTTTAGATATTAGTATTAGTAACCGAAAGCAAAAATAAGAAAAGATATCATGAAAACATCTCCTCGTATTAAAGTACACATTATAATAAATAGTATACAAATGAATAAAAAATCGTATCTAATAAGACGAAAATCGTTCTTGTACAATGATTCAATTGTATTAAAAATCTAAGGCAACACTTACCTTTTCATTCTCCAAACGCTCATTAACTTTTCTGATATTCAACTCCTGAGCTTCTTGTTTGTTTACAGATTGGTTCAGTTCCTCTCGAGAACTCTCATGTTCGGTCCTGCAATTATTTATAAAATTATTCTAAAAGGAAAGAAACTTCAATGTGATTTTCCAATAATCTACCAATACTCAATAGGGCCTACAAAATTATCCGTGGAATGACATATGAGCCAATATCAGCTGCATTTTTATGAACTTCTAAAGACACACTGAATTGGAATGTCAGAGTATTCCATAACCATGGTAACAGCACGGTAGTTTTGGTAACCATGGTAACAGCGCGGTAGTTGTGGTAACCATGGTAACAGCGCGGTAGTTGTGGTAACCATGGTAACAGCGCGGTAGTTGTGGTAACCATGGTAACAGCGCGGTAGTTGTGGTAACCATGGTAACAGTGCGGTAGTTGTGGTAACCATGGTAACAGCATTGTATGTAGTTGTGGTAACCATGGTAACAGCGCGGTAGTTGTGGTGACCATGGTAACAGCGCGGTAGTTGTGGTAACCATGGTAACAGCGCGGTAGTTGACTGCCAGCTCGAGCGGTAAACAGTACCTATCAAAAGCGCAATGAATTGGACAATTTCTACCAAATAACCGTCTGAACTCTGAAGCAACGTAGATTACCTTTTTTGATTGTTATATGAGACCCGTGTTTTGTTTTTAACTTTCAGCTCCGAGGAGGAGAGAAAGTTATTTGAGGAGAGCCGCTCAGACATGGTCACCGTATTGTGTAAATTATTTAGTTATCTTTATACAATATCTTTGTCGCATTGTAGCGGGGTAGTAAATACAGTGTTTCGTTTCGTTTCGTATCTTAACAGTTTGCGTTAAAAACTTTATCTTAACAAAGTAAAACAAAAGTTCAGTTATTTTTAGAATGAAATGAACTTTTAACATGCCCAGTAATTCCTCAATATATTCCAACTAAAACACAGTAATTACTCAATATATTCCAATTAAAACTATTTTTTGCCAAATAAATTAAAAATTTGCGAAACGAAACAGATCTTTGTCAAGAAATATCAAGTAACCCTCTATTTTATAAACAATATGTGTTTTGTAACCTACAGTTAAACATTTTGAAGCGAATTACGTGCCATGTTTATCGTATTTGGGTCACTGAAAAGAAACATGAACAATGTTAAAATATCATCAAACAAATCATCATTTGTTTAAATTTCAAAAAGCAGACCTTCAACATTATAACTTTCACATTTTCCAAAAACATACTAGTCGTTATCATGACACTGAATCTTAAACAATCAACCAATGATTTCGGCCTAATTAAACCCAAATCCAGTACCCGCTCTTCATTTCAAGTCAATTTGTCCATCTCGGGATTTTAAATTGGGATTTGGGTCATCTTTAAACTCAGTCATTACCCAGTCTGTTTCTATGGGTAATTACTCAGTACCTACGCATATGCATCCTTCTGTTTAAGGATGAAATTACCCTCCTCCGTAAAAGGACGATCTTGAGTGGTTAAAGCTCGATGACTTATCATCCCACCATTTGAGTTAGCGTAGTGGTAAGGGGAACGATTGCTGCCCGATGAGTGGGGGACTTCTATAGGCTTATCATCTGTGCCGTCAGGGTTGTAAAAAATTATGTTATTTCTAGCTGATTTACCTCGATCCAAGCCGAACCATTCCTCCATCACTTCACATTTCTTCAGATAGATCCTTGTTCCCAGACATTCACAAAAGCCCTTACCTTTCCTGCTGTCTAAGTATGCGACGAAAAGAAATTCCAAACAGCATATGGTAAGTGAACACCCAACAGCACCAGCCAGAATGATGAAGAGTCCGGCTAGGAGCTGAGGAGTGAAAGTTGTGTCACTCCCGATCTCGTCAGACTCCACAGGACATGTCTCACCTCCTTCTTCACCACTTTTCCACCTCTCGAATCCTTGAGTGAAATATCCTTCTTCTGTGTAGGTAATGAACATTTTATTTATCGGCTTAAGATATGGTGCATGAAATGGCACTGCGAAAGCCCACTGGTTTTGATACGATGTCGTATCGACCACTATTTTTTCGCAGTCATCCTTGAGTACGAACTCTAGGAGAGTCCTTGGCCCAACGAACACAAATCGTCCCTCCTTTATTTTTTTCGCTGCCACATCTGTTGTAATGATCTTTTTACCTCTAGTGTATATATCCCTATGCTCTTCTTCTGTGCTGTTCTTTAATTGACTTGATAGTAAATCGCCTTCAAGGGCACCCCATTCGTAGTATTCTTGCGAAAGCAACTCATTGAAATTGTTAATTGTCTTTACCGCTGATTCCACTGTCAAGCTGGCGGTAAGATTGGCTGTGTACATGGCAGATATGATCATTATGAAGAGCCACCACGTCAAAAGTAGAATTCTTCCAGATGGAGAAGTCGGGAGAACATCTACCCCTTGTAACACGAACCCTGAAAATAAAGCAATTCAGCTTAGGAACTGCTTATTTTGTCTGAATTAATAAAATATCGAACCTTACTCCTAACGGGTAAACAATCGTTTTTGACTGAGTTTACAAACAACAATAAAATTTGCTCAACATTCCTCTATATTTACTAAACCTGCTGCAATGAGCCAGTTTGAGTTGTAGATAGAGAGGTCGTTCATACCATCGTCCTCCTCACCCTCATCTACCTGGCACTTGACAACCTTTTTTACCCTTCTCCTCAGGACACATTTTTTGCAAGGGCAAGTTTTCATAGCATGGAGTTTCTCACCATATGTTCCGAGGGGGGAAAATTTACTAAAGAAATTAGTAAGAATGGCAATACCAAATATAAGTAGTAAGATAGTTCCCCAGACAGACATCTCAAAAGGGTCAAGAAAAAAGAATATGTTTGCTGATGAAGCGAAACTTCCAATGGCAGGATACATGGCCAAAGCTGCAGAGTCTTCATGGAGTGGAGCTGTGAAGTCGACATGCTTTGCACGGTCATATGTCATGGATATAGGTATTGTGATGTCAGTTTTTCTGTCTATGATATCTCCCATTAATGTTCCGGATCCGCTCCAGGAATCTGATTCGGAGGTGCCACCAACCATTTTTGTAGGTGCTACTGCATAGTCGTATGTAAATTTAAGGTCTTCGGCAAGTCTCGTGAAGATTTCGGGACTCCAGCCATACCAGCACCTTGGTCGAGATGGATCTTTCTCGCACTCTAAAGAGTTAACAAAATAAGTGGTAGGTGGATATTCTACGATGCCGATCCGTAGGTGGTACCCTTCTAAGCTGCCGAGTCCAGTTGGTGGATGTGTATCACTACCAATAAAAGTGAGGTCTTTTCTGCTTCGCCATTTTACCTTTTGGCCGACTGAATCAAGAAGCCCAGTTTCATATGTCCAGAACCCAACTCTTTCAAAACCATCAGACTTGAAATTCATAATTTCGTAAGTCGGAAAATGTTCAATTCCAGTTATACTGCTAATCTGCCTTCCAGAAAAATCTTTCTTCATATTGGAGTACAATTGTTGACCAGCACCCCAGGTGTTTAACTTGCCACATCTAACCTCCTTCAATGTTTCTCTTTCAATATCTCCGAGTCGAAGAAGCGAAAAATGAATAAGTTTGAGACCTTCTGAAACTTTGACAGAAGCCCTCGTTAAATCTGTTGAAAGCCCTCCATTCAACACGTATGCATCCTTTAGATCGCTGTATTCACCAGAGTCTTTACCATAGTGGGGAGTGGTGCCGAATATTCCTTTATAATATGACAGATACGATCTGTCACCATGTGTCAGGGTGTCTGGTCGTGCTGTCACCCCATCTAGTGTGATCCATATGTAATCTTTAGCCATCAATCCCATTTCTTTTGCTTCACTGTAGGATAGTGGCACTGGTTAACGTTTAACTGAAGTTATTGGAAATGTGGAAAGCATTGTGTTAGCCAAACTGCATATTTGATAACTACGCCATATTTTAGAACATATACTTAATCATTATTTTGATAATTTAAGGTTAGTAACTACTAGAAACTTACTATGTACAACTTATCAATGTCATTTTAGAGCACTAGAAAAACATAATTACAAGAAAAGCTAATGAGATTCTTACCTGAAAATCCGTTTGGCAAACCGTCCATGGCAGCTTAGTACGATAACTCTGACAAGAGAATCTTTGATCACTTCCAGTTCTTTTGAAAAAACCTTGACGTCCGAAGGTTGAGACAAGTCTCTCTTTGTATCAAAGTTCTGAATGTCTTTAATGTGGAATTCTATGTCTTGCGATGCGAGATACTGTAATCGAACAGTGCTTCTTATTCCAAAAGAGTCAGAAGACGCAAGAATGGAAAAGTCAAACCATAAAAACTCCTTCAACAGTGCATATACAGCCTCACTTTGATGAACATCGGTCGGGGAGAGTCGTAGCTCCATATTGTTCACATACGGCGTTTCCATGAACGGATTGGTAGCAACTGCTGCGATAAAAGGTATTTGAAATTGACCAATCAGGTTCGATTGTATAGCAGTCGAGGACGAGTCTGAAGCAGATATAATAGCAGCGACATCCTGGTCAATGAGGGAACAAACTCCTCCCATCATACTGAGATACGTCTGGTCGTGATACTGGACCTCCAACTGTAAGGTCCAGTACATGGTAGAGATTGTGAAGTCAGCCAGTCTTTTAATCGCATTTGATTCCGCTTCATCGTTAGAGTCGAGAAGGAGGCCTACTTTGAAGGGGATGAGTTCTGCGATGGAATGAAATGCAAGTTTGAGGACGAGAATATATCTAATCAGCATATCTCAGATTACCAGGTTACCAAGTTACCAGGTTACCAAGTTACCAGAGGCCCTAGGGGGTACAAAATTAGTTGATTGATAATTAGATGCAAAACGTAGCCAAGCAAAATTCAAACGAGAATTACTGCATATTATTCAAAATGGAAACAATTTTTTAGATACAAGGTTTATAATTTATTTACCATTATAGACGAAAAGGAAACAACTACAAGAGCGCAAAGTAATGTTAGCCCAACAGCTTAGAAACTTAATCTACGGTTCCAGTCACTCGCTTTTGTTGTCCTAACCCTGTTCGCTTTGTTTTTAATTCCTCATGAGAAATATCCCACACAACACACACTTAGCTAGGCTACAGAACTGCTTCAATACATCGGTCAAGAGTGTAACACAACGGTACGATATAAGTGGGGTAGGAACCGAGAGTGCCCATTTTCCCACGGTTTGTCACATTTTGTTAATCTTGTTGTATACTGTCATAATATGTTGTCATATATTGTCGTATATTGTCATATGTTGTCAAATATCGTCAAATCTTGTCATATATTGTCATATTATATTTTCGTATATTGTCAAATCTTGTCTTTTATTGTCGAATCTTGTCACATCTTGTCATGTACTGTCATATATTGTCGTATATTGTCATATAATGTCAAATATTGTCGTATATTGTCATATATTGGCACATATTGTCACATCTTGTCACAAATTGTCGTAAAATTGTCATGACATTGGGCACTCTGCCCTAAGCGCGATGGGTGCGAAATCGCTCGATTGACTAAACACCGCAATTAATCGCAACATTGGCCGTTATTCCTTCGATCAGCTTAGTAATTTGGTACTGCTGTGTATAATTAGATAAGATCGACATGTACATAACTTTGGTAAGGGTAAAACCTAGCATGCCTTGGTTGCAGCATCGCTTCACTTATAGGTGCACTAAGGGCCTGATTTAATTGCTATGCCAAATTTACTGGTCATCTGGTGTTTCGGTGTCCCTATTTTTGTTTACACTCAGTCACTTGTTAATAAAAATAGCTACAGTTATGGTATAGTTAGACAATATAAGTATAACAGTTCGCAGGAATTTTACCACACAATGTGTTGGAATCTAATGTTGTAAACTAACAATAGTAACTGAATACTCTGGATCTGCCTCAATTATGCTCATCGGCAGCTCAACTGACCTCATTCATTTTGCCCATCTTATTGTAAAAACTTCAATGAGGATAATTCTAAAATTAAACATCTTGAATCGTTAGGAAAGTTGGTGTAGAATATTGCATTGTGGTATGCAACGTTATAGACAATTGGCGTAATAAAGGAGTTATAAAATAAGATTATAATCCTCGCCGCGCAGTGCACGCATGCAGACAAGAGCAATACCATTGCAGTGCAATCGTAACGAGAAATAATGTGCTTGTATACCGCACATATAATGGTTAGCAACTGACACAAGTGTCGGGTATTAATCAATGTGTCAGACCGATTCGAAATGGTGAAGTGAACATATTTAGCAACAAACAACTGCATAATCTCAAAAAAACAATCTATTATACAGAAAATATCAATTCTGCTGTAGACTACTTACTTCGTAGTTTAGTACTTTAGTAATAGTACGTCTATATTTTATACACTTTGATTTTAGAATTACTTTAGAGACAGGGGATAGACTCATATAAATGATTTATCAGATGCAAATAAGAAGTAGAGATACATTATATTATATATTATTTATGAATAATCCCGATAAAGATGAAATAAGATTTAAGATAGTTTATGATTCTTCGATCGATTTTATGATGTAGTGATCTGACTTCAGTACTGAATTCATTGTAGAGGAAGTTCCCCTATCAAGCTCCCACTTGGAATCACTACTCGGTTCAAAGATCGGTAAGTGCGTTGGTAGAACTACATAATACAACGAGCAAAGATTAACAATACACCACCAAAAATCACTTCAATTGTATCAATATCATACAGGAATTAAAGGAATTTGAACTATTTTCATCCTAATTATAAATAAGATCAACTGCTATCAGCTATGCATCTAATTTCAATGTCATATTGCACAAAATCTATGCAAGATAAATAACATTGGTGATAAGGGCCATGATACTGCCTCACCGTAAACCATAAATGTCGTCAATACTCTTACAAGGAACGTATAGTGTTTCTTCAAACTTAGGTTCTTCTATATTCACAAACTCATACTCCTTTGAGGTCTATATTGAAAGCATAACTATCAGCATGTGATAAAACCTTTAACACTTCAGATAGAAGTATTAGAAATTACCTCTTCCTTATAGTTTCGATCAAACCCGTTTGAATCATGGTCTTCGACCCTTTTGTGACTTCTATGAAACCACTCTTCAATGACTTCACGATATTTATATATTATTCTTCTCCGCAAACATTGCCAGATGCTCTGCCCCTTTTCTATACTGTCTAGGCAGGAAACGTAAAGTATTTCAAATAACACCGTGACAAAGGCTATTACAGCTCCAACACCTAAAATAAGGAACAGTCCCGCTAAAATCGGAATTCCGAATTTAGTATCATTGCCAACCGAAGAAGAACAAGTCGGCATGTTCTCATCAGCAGAGTTATACCATTCGTCAAATTTGGTGGTTAACCAACCCCTCTCACGGTATTGTAGAAACATGTTGTTGATAACTGCTGAATATGGTGAATTTACTTGTGTTCCTAAAGCCCACTGGTTGTTGAATTTGCCTGTTTTCGTAAGTGCAGCTTCGCAGTCTCCCCTGAAATTGTACGTGAGCACAGAGCCTTCATCAATGAAGACAAAACCACCTTTTTTAACTCTTGTGATGCCTTCATCTAAACTTTCCGATCCGACTCCACTGCTAACAATTTTGTTGTATGTTTCATCATCATGATCAGACATCATGTTCTGAATAAAACGATCATTTAAAAGTCCCCACTTATAGTCTCCCTGGTTCAACAGATCGTCTAGTTTGGTAATTTTTGCGGTAGAACGATCCAGCGTCAGATGAGCAGTTAGATTTGCCGTGTACATTGAGGTGAGAATCATGATGAAGAGCCACCACATGAAAAGAAGGAAGCGACCAGACGGTGCTGTAGGAAATTTGTCAGTCCCCTGCAGAACAAAACCTGGGACAAAAAATATATCATAAGCGGTCGTGTTGAATTAAGCATCATGATCATTGCTAGAGTTACAATCAAGTATACAATAGAACAAACTATTTCTCCAGAGTTGAGTTCTAGATTTTATAAAAGTTATGAGTTGAGTATTCTACAATCGAACCTGTTCCAATAAGCCATGTTGAGTTGTAGTAAGAGAGCTCGTTCACCCCATCGTCCTCCTCCACTTTCTCCACCAAACAACTATATTCCTTCGTGTCAACAAATCTACACTTCTTAGCCACTTTTATTTCTCTCCTTAGCACACATTTGGCGCATACACAACTCTGCATAGCGTGGATAGTCCTGCCATATTTTCCGAAAGGAGAGAACTTACTGAAAAATGTGGTCAAAAGAGCGATCACCAGGATTAGGCCAATGATGCTTATCCAAACTAATAAGTCGAAGGGTTCCAGGAAAAAGAACAAGTTCGATGAACTTTTGGAGGCCTTAGTATGAAGAACGAAAGCAGCCTGATCCTCATAGATAGATGCAGTGTAGTCGATGTATTTGGACCGCTCAGTACTTATTGATATAGTTATGGTCAAGTCTGTTTTTCTGTCCAGAATGTCTCTAATCATTCCATTCCATTCTTTTGTTTCTTTGTTCAAGCCACCAAATTTATTATCTGCCGGCTGAACATATTCGTACGTAAAGTTTAGGTCTTCCTGAAGTTTTTGGAAGATATCAGGATTCCAGCCGTACCAGCAGTCAGGACTAGAATTATTACCACACTTCTCGTCGAAATACGCAATCGGTGGATCTGTAACTATGCCAATTCGAAGGTGATAGCCGGTGAGCGTGTTCCCTATTCCACTGGGAGGTGAGTACTTATTGCCACTAAATAGAACATCTTTTCTTTCAACCCACCGTGATATTGTTTCATCCTTACCAAGGTTAACAAGACCCCTGGACTTTTCCCATTTTCCAACCTTCTCAAAGCCTTTTTCTTGGAAGTTCAGTATGTCATACGTTGGAATGACCACCCCAGAATTGTCATATGTTCCGTTTTGGAAATTTTCATCCAATTTGCTGAAGAGTTCTTCACCACCAACCCAGTAAGAAGGTGTTTTACAGCTAATTCTAACTGATGGGGAGTTGTCCCATTCACCTTCATCAAGCTCTTTTAGAGAGAAATGGACGATTTCTAGACCCATAGAAACTTTTACAGATGACATGCGCAAATCCGAGGATCTACCACCACTCATAATGTATGCATTTGCCAGATCGTTGTATTGTGTGGAACCTTTTCCATAGTGAGGCAGCGTTCCTAACAATCCTTGATAGAAAGAAGGGTAGGACAAGTCATCATAGGCCATTGTTTCTGGTTTAGATGTGATCGCATCTGTCGTTATCCAGACAAATGATTCGTCCATCAAGCCCTTTCTTTCGGCTTCCCTGAAAATAAATGATTTTGCTTAATTTAAGTCCAGGTATTCGATCAAACCAAGTAACATTATATTATGTGGTTCAATTGCGAAGTTAAGTTTAGATCTAACAGCCAGCTGATAGACTCTGTGTTTCAGATAAAGGATTCACAAAGAATGCTACAGACGAGCAAATAAACTTAAAGATAGCTCACCTGAATATTATTTTTGCGAACTTTCCATCGCAATTTAGCACAATAACCTTAACTATTGAATCTTTGATCAGTTGAAGCTCTTTTTCAAACAAAGAAGAATTTTCTGAATCTGACAGATCCTTTCTTACATCAAAATGTTGGATGTCCCTAATGCTGAAGTTGTCATCTTGCGAGGCCAGATATTGCAAGTTCACGATGCTGTTAATCCCGTAATCGTCTGCCGATGCCAGAATTGAGAATTGGTACCAATTGTACTCCTTCAACAAGTCGAATATAGCTTGACCCTGATATACGTCTGATGGTGAAAGTCTCAGTTCAAAGTTTTCCTTAGAGTGAGATTCAATGAATGGGTTCGTATCCACTGCAGCAACAAGTGGAACATGAAACTGATTTGCCAAATTCACCTGAATCGCCGTTAAAGTTGAATCGGACCAAGATATGATAGCTACAACATTTTCATCAATAAGTTCACAAACACTGTTCATGAGGTTCAGGTATATCGAGTCATGGTATCGTTCTATCAGTTGCAGTTTGGTGTTGGATTTGTTAAGTTTTGAGATGGTGTATTGGGCGAGGCTTTTGATGGCATTGGACTCATCCTGCTCTTCGGAGTTCAACAAGAGACCAACTTTGTATGGTTGCCCAATCGAGGATAGAATAAAAAAGAGGATATAACGGAGCCCCGCCATAATACCTTAGAGGTAAAAACAAAACTTTAATGGTTTAAAGATATTCAGTAATCATTGGTTCACAACAAATTTTATAATTTGAGGATTTGTGATGCTGCTTAAAGTGAACTGTCCATGACGAAAAGCTGTCTAAGCGGAAAAGATTTAGAAGAAAATTAAACAAAAGCTAATTTCGAACAGAACTGTTTTAAAAGTTTATAGGTTTATAGTGTGCAACTCGAAACGAAGCATTAAGTATGCTAACAAGACATAACGAATACGATTGATTGTTCTCACAAACACAATATTATGTTAGGAATTTTAAGGTATAGTTCTAACCGTTACCTAAGGCTTAGTATTGCTGTACAGCTAAATAGGATAGTTCTAACCGTACGCTAACAATGCTACATTCCAGTCTGTCCCGCTTTTGTTTCCTTACCCTGTTGCTTTGTTTTTAATTCCTCATGGGGAATATCCCTCACAACACACATTTAGCTGGAGACTACAGAGTTTAATTACATCGTTCAAGAGTCAAGAGTGTAAGAACACGTCATCTAGGCGTGATTTAAGTGCGGTGGGTGCGAGATCGCAAGATTGACCACGTATACCATATTATGGCAAGTTGATAAAGCAGCAACTTTTAGTACTATTGATAGTTGATTGATAGTACTATTGATAGTTGATTAAAAAAACCGAAAAAAGGCAAATCTTAGGAAATAAATAACTTGTCAAGCTCGATTGTAATCCCTCAATGGATAAAAATTGAGTCAGACATATTGTAGTTAGATCTATAATAGTCAGACAATATCATAGTTTGCAGGTATTTTATCTAGTATACACACCATATGTTGGAATCTAATGTTGTATTGTATTGTATTGTATCAGATGCCATCGTGGAGTAGGTGGTCTCCTGCACATTTTCCCCCTTGACATAAAAGAAAAAACCTAGACATGCAACCTACAATCCGAAGTTGAAGACTATAAGGTCTTAGGGAAGACTATAAGGTCTTCATGCTTATATAATTAAATGATTTAATGATACATAACGATAACTTGTAAACCCCACAAGTTTCCAGTATCGTCATGAATCCATGACCATATACTCACTGAGCTTGGTGTCACTTGGTCATGAGAAAAAGCTGGGATTGACCGTAAAATTGTAACGAAATAAATTTCCTTCGTAACATTTATTCCTCTGAATTAAAAACGCCATAGCTGTAAAGTATGAACCAGTATGAAATCATACTGTTTTATACTTTATTAAAACGTGGTGTGAAGTAATATGGTGTAAAGATTGCATAATACGAGTTTATAAAAGCATGAAAACAAATATCGTAGAGGCGAACATCACGTGTTGTTGTCACGTGGGAGATACCTACACGTGGTAGCCTATAAAAGATAGAAATGGATCAAAAGAATATATGAAATGAAAGAACGCTGTCAGAATGAGTGCCTCTTAAGATGGCAGAGTGGATCTGCGGTCTGCAACATTGAATCTGTGTGTGAAAGAAGATACATAACTGTAGTCCCAAAGAGGGTTCCCAGGATAGAAGGTTCAGAGCTATTAAATGTTGTAAAACTAAAATTTTCAATAATCTGCCTCAATTATGCTCATCACCAGCTCAACAAGCCGCATTTATACTGCTCATCTAATTGTAAAAACTTCTATGCGGGTAATTCTAGAATTATACATCTAAATTGTAAGGAATGTCAGTGTAAAATATTAGCCTTGTAATTTATTTGTTGTGTTTAACTTGAAACAATCGTGTAACGCAACGTTATTATATATACAGGGGGGCCAAAAGTAACATTACATACGTTGGGTCTTATACCACAGCCGAAGCTGTACCAAATCACAGCTTGGTAACTGGCCGGGTTGCATCCGACCGGATTTAAACCCGGGTCTTCTGCTTGGGAGGCGATCGTTATACCACTACACCACCCGGCCGATAGTTCAGATCACTCCCATATAATATCAAATCACCTATATTTTTATTTTCGAACAAGCTAGTCGCCTAATTTTTGCAGATTATTTGCTGCATGTGATCTGAATAAAAGTTAAGGGATAAAATGGATTTGAAATAACAAAGTTATCAAGCATTTTGTGATTTAGTGTATCTCGTTACCAAAAATCGATTGGGTGATTGTGTGACACGGCACCTTAATTGGGTCCCCTTGCAATTTAACGGGCGTGATCAGGTAATCCAACTACCTGATCACACGTAATGTACAAACTCGTTATGCTACGTATAATGTATTATATCAGTTATCTGAGAAGCTACAACTCTCATTTTTTTAGGACAGGCGTAATTTGAATGACCAAACACAATTCTATAAGATTTGGCTCGATCCGATTATTAAACCTATCAAATAATTAATAAACTATCAAATAAAACCCTCATTCGACAAAATTGAACACATGAATATTATTTCATTTAAAGAGATCATGAAGTGTGAATTTGCGAATTCTTCAAAAATGTTTCTATTGCGGTGCCTGACATTTATGGTACAAAACCACCAATTAAACCACAAACCATCGGCCGATTTTTTAAAAATTTGCTTATTGGCTTCGTCAGAGTTTTGTCGGCACTATACCGAAAAAACCAGTCCCGTAACTCTTACCGTTTATTAAATATAACAGACCGGAAATTACACACGCACAGACAGACAGACAGACGATCAGACACACACACATTCTGGGATTATTAAGGTGATAATTAGGTTTATAACTACACGCTCATAGACATAAACATAAAATGGAAAATGGAAATATTTTAACTCATATTCCTTTGAGGTCTATATTGAAAGGTTAACTATCAGCCTGTGATAAAAATCTCGATACTTCAAATAGAAGTGTTAGAAATTACTTATTGCTTATTGTTTGAAATAAATTCGCATGAATCCTTAACCCATCTTCGACCCTTTTGTGGCTTCTTCCAAACCACTCTTCTGTGACTTCACGATACTTAAACACTATTCTTCTCCACAAACATTGCCAGATACTCTTCCTCATTTTTATACTGTCTAAGCGGGAAACGTACAGTATTTCAAAGATCACAGTGACAAAGGCTATTACAGCTCCAGCACCTAAAATAAGGAACAGTCCTGCTAAAATCGGAATTCCAAATTTAGTATCACTGCCGACCGAAGAAGAACAAGTCGGTGCGTTTTCATCGGCGGAGTTATACCATTCGTCAAATTTGGTGGTTAACCAACCCCTCTCACGGTATTGTAGGAACATGCTGTTGATAACTGCTGAATATGGTGAATTTACTTGTGTCCCCAATGCCCACTGGTTGTTAAACTTGCCTGTTTTCGTAAGTGCAGCTTCACAGTCTCCCTTGAAATTATACGTGAGTACAGAGCTTTCATCAATGAAGACAAAACCACCTTTTTTAACTCTTGCAATGCCTTCATCTAAACTTTCCAATCCGACTCCACTGCTAACAATTTTGTTGTATGTTTCATCATCATGATCAGACATCATGTTCTGAATAAAACGATCATTTAAAAGTCCCCACTTATAGTCTCCCTGGTTCAACAGATCGTCTAGTTTGGTAATTGTTGCAGTAGAACGATCCAGCGTCAGATGAGCAGTTAGATTTGCCGTGTACATCGAGGTGAGAATCATGATGAAGAGCCACCACATGAAAAGAAGGAAGCGACCAGACGGTGCTGTAGGAAATTTGTCAGTCCCCTGCAGAACAAAACCTGAGACAAAAAATATATCATATAAGCGGTCGTGTTGAATTAAGCATCATGATCATTGCTAGAGTTATAATTTAGCTCAAGTTTACTGCAATTTATAAAAGAAGGTTATACAATAGAACAATCTATTACTCCAGAGTTGAGTTCTAGATGTTATAACAATTTGGGTTGACTATTCTACAATCGAACCTGTTCCAATAAGCCATGTTGAGTTGTAGTAAGAGAGCTCGTTCACCCCATCGTCCTCCTCCACTTTCTCCACCAAACAACTATATTCCTTCGTGTCAACAAACCTACACTTCTTAGCCACTTTTATTTCTCTCCTTCGCACACATTTGGCGCATGCACAACTCTGCATAGCGTGGACAGTCCTGCCATATTTCCCGAAAGGAGAGAACTTACTGAAAAATGTGGTCAAAAGAGCGATCACCAGGATTAGGCCAATGATGCTTATCCAAACTAATAAGTCGAAGGGTTCCAGGAAAAAGAACAAGTTCGATGAACTTTTGGTGGCCCTAGTATGGAGAACGAAAGCAGCCTGATCCTCATATACAGACGCAGTGTAGTCGATGTATTTGGACCGCTCAGTACTTATTGATATAGTTATGGTCAAGTCTGTTTTTCTGTCCAGAATGTCTCTAATCATTCCATTCCATTCTTTTGTTTCTTTGTTCAAGCCACCAAATTTATTATCTGCCGGCTGAACATATTCGTACGTAAAGTTTAGGTCTTCCTGAAGTTTTTGGAAGATATCAGGATTCCAGCCGTACCAGCAGTCAGGACTAGAATTATTGCCACACTTCTCGTCGAAATATGCAATCGGTGGATCTGTAACTATGCCAATTCGAAGGTGATAGCCGGTGAGCGTGTTCCCTATTCCACTGGGAGGTGAGTACTTATTGCCACTAAATAGAACATCTTTTCTGTCAACCCACTGTGATATTGTTTCATCCTTACCAAGGTTAACAAGACCCCTGGACTTTTCCCATTTCCCAACCTTCTCAAAGCCTTTTTCTTGGAAGTTCAGTATGTCATACGTTGGAATGACCACCCCAGAATTGTCATATGTTCCGTTTTGGAAATTTTCATCCAATTTGCTGAAGAGTTCATCACCACCGACCCAGTAAGAAGGTGTTTTACAGCTAACTAATGGGGAGTTGTCCCATTCACCTTCATCAAGCTCTTTTAGAGAGAAATGGACGATTTCTAGACCCATAGAAACTTTTACAGATGACATGCGCAAATCCGAGGATCTACCCCCAGTCATAATGTATCCATTTGCCAGATCGTTGTATTTTGTGGAACCTTTTCCATAGTGAGGCAGCGTTCCTATCAATCCTTGATAGAAGGAAGGGTAGGACAAGTCATCATAGGCCATTGTTTCTGGTTTAGATGTGATCGCATCTGTCGTTATCCAGACAAATGATTCGTCCATCAAGCCCTTTCTTTCGGCTTCCCTGAAAATTAATTCGGTAAAACCAAGTAAGATTACATGATATGGTTAAATTTCAAAGTTAAATTTAAATCTACAAGCCAGCTAATAGATTCTGAGTTTCGGATAAAGGATTTTTTTAAAGCAAATAAACTTAAATATAGCTCACCTGAATATGATTTTGGCGAACTTTCCGTCACAGTTTAGGACAATAACCTTAACTATTGAATCTTTGATCAGTTGAAGCTCTTTTTCAAAGAAAGAAGAATTTTCTGAATCTGAAAGATCCTTTCTTACATCAAAATGTTGGATGTCCCTAATGCTGAAGTTGTCATCTTGTGAGGCCAGATATTGCAAGTTCACGATGCTGTTGATCCCGTAATCGTCTGCCGATGCCAGAATTGAGAATTGGTACCAATTGTACTCCTTCAACAAGTCGAATATAGCTTGACTCTGATATACGTCTGATGGTGAAAGTGCCAGTTCAAAGTTTTCCTTAGAGACGGGTTCGAGGAAAGGATTTGTAGCCACCGCAGCAACAAGTGGAACATGAAACTGATTTGCCATATTCACCTGAATCGCCGTTAAAGTTGAATCGGACCCAGATATGATAGCCACAACATTTTCATCGATAAGTTCACAAACACTAGTCATGAGATTCAGGTATACTGAGTCATGGTATCGTTCTACCAGTTGCAGTTTGGTGTTGGATTTGTTTAGTTTGGAGATGGTGTATTGGGCGAGGCTTTTGATGGCATTGGACTCATCCTGCTCTTCGGAGTTCAACAAGAGACCAACTTTGTATGGTTGCCCAATCGAGGTTACTATAAAAAAGAGGATATAACGGAGCCCAGTCATAATACCTGAGAGGTAAAAACAAAACTTTAATGCTTTAAAAGATATTCAGTAATCATTGGTTCACAACAAATTCTATATTTTGAGGATTTGTGATGCTGCTTAAAGTGAACAGTCCATGACGAAAAGCTGTCTAAGCGGAAAATATTTAGAGAACAATTAAACAAAAGTATTGTTTTGCTATATATAGTGTGCAACTCGAAACGAAACATGAGGTATGCTAACTAGATATTATATAATAACGAAAATTACAATTAATTGAATCTTTGCAGAAAGATAATATTACGTAGTTTTTAATCAGAAGGTATAGTGCTAATATCCGGAAATTAAGGGACCGGTCACATATTATTACGAGATCACCTTTTGGACAATTTAAACCTCCTCCCCTTCCCCCTCCGTAATCAGTTTTACACATAGCTATTGTGCCAAAATTACACTAGCATAATCATTCGGAAACCCCCCTCCCCCTTAGGCTGATTACGTAATATGTGAACACTGAACGACCCCTAACAAGCAGTGACAACTGACAAGCTATTTAGTCTTATGTGCGAAATGGCCAACGGACATCTGACAAAATCTTGGCGTCCAGATTCCAGAAGTTGAGACATGTTGAGCCTCTCTTTGTGTCAAAATACTAAGTGTCTTCAATGTGGAATTCTCCTTCAACAGTGCATAATATACACTATGCAGCCTCACTTTGATGAACATCGGTCGGGGAGAGTCGTAGCTCCATATTGTTCACATACGGCGTTTGCATGAACGGATTCGTAGCAACTGTTGCGATAAAAGGTACCGATCATATTCGATTGTACAATATACAGCAGTCAAGGAGAAAAGAACTATAAGAACGCAAAGTAATGCTAGCACAGCACTCAACAGGTTAGAAACTTAATGCTACAATTCAAGCTTTTGTTCCTTGCCCTGTTTGCTTTGTTTTTTAATCAATACCTAGTACCCTCATGAGAAATATCCCCCACAATTATACACACATAGCCACACGGATTCGAAGCAAATGTTGTGATAAAAGGTAGTGAAATTGACCAATCAGATTCGATTGTACAATGTACATCAGTCAAGGAGAAAAGAACTGCTAGCCTAGCAATCAACAGCTTAGAAACTTAATGCTACAATTCAAGTTTTTGTTCCCTTACCCTATATTTGCTTTGTTTTTTAATCAACACCCTCGTGAGAAACATCCCATACAATTATACACACAGACTTCTCGACAGAATGTTCCAATCCATCAGTCAAGAGTATAACCACATACAGGCACACCTAAAGGCTGCAAACTCGGCAAATAGTTAATATAAGCTTAATAACGGCATTTTCTGTCACCAAATTTGCAGCACATACAAAGTTTTGGGCAGGTGCGCACTATTTGCCATATCTGTCAAGGTTACACATTATTTATAGATATATATATCAAGGTTACACATTATTTATTTGCTTCGCTGCGTCACTATCCAAGCATTGGTAAAGTCTATATACATTTTATTTTGGTTGAGATCGAACCTTGAAATCATCAGCATGCAAACATTTGGCGTGATAAAAGACTTCCCATCCTCTATCGTAAACTTGCACATTCTAATCCTTGAAGTGCACGCACACACACAAGAGCAGTACCATTGCAGTGCAAAGATGTTAGCTCTTTATAAATTGAAAGGCATACTGTGAAAAAGTATTTATTGTCAGCATTGTCATTACATCTTAATACTTCCTACATGAACAGATATTTTTATTATATATATTCCAATCAAAAACTCTTTTTAAAGCTAGAGAATCGGTAACATTTTCATAATTTGCATAAATTTCTGTCATGATATGCGATCGGAATATTTACTTCACGAACCCCAGCTGAGTGAAGCGAATAATTTTCAGTCATGTTTTATTATTTCTTGATATTAAGTAAGTTTATTTACTCAGCAAAACAATTCTTGAGGTGACTCAAGCTATTTTAAAACAATAATTATCTTTTTTAACTAAATTACTCTAAATAATATGAATCTAATTAGGTTTACAACTACACACTCAAAAATTTAAATTTAAAAATATAAATATTTTCATCTAAAGGGCTTCACCTAAATATAGATAAGATTAACTGCTTTGACATCTAACCTTAAATGTTATACTGTTATGATCCGCCAACAATTCGGCTTCCTCCCAGTGGGAGGCAGAATCAATTATATTGGTGGCAACATTAGACAAAATGTCGTGTCAACACTCGTCTATACTCTTACAAGGAACGTAGAGTGTTTCTTCAAACTTTGCTAGTTCTTCTATCTTCACAAACTCATACTCCTTTGAGGTCTATATTGTAAGCATAACTTTCAGCGTATGATAACACTTTTAATATTTCAGATAGAAGTGTTAGAAATAACCTCTTCCTTATGGTTTCGATCAAACCCGTTTGAATCATGGCCTTCAACTCTTTTGTGACTTCTATCAAACCACTCTTCGGTGACTTCACGATACTTATATACTATTCTTTTCCACAAACATTGCCAGATACTCTGCCCCTTTTCTATACTGTCTAGGTGAGAAACGTAGAGTATTTCAAGGAAGACAGTGACAAAGGCTATTACAGCTCCAACACCTAAAATAAGGAACAGTCCCCCTAAAATGGGGATACCAAATTTAGCATCACTACCAACCGAAGAAGAGCAAGTCTGTATGTTTTCATCAGCGGAGTTATACCATTCGTCAAATTTGGTGGTAAACCAACCCCTCTCACGGTATTGAAGGAACATGCTGTTGATAACTGCTGAATATGGTGAATTTACTTGTGTCCCCAATGCCCACTGGTTGTTGAATTTGCCTGTTTTCGTAAGTGCAGCTTGACAGTCTCCCCTGAAATTGAAAGTAAGCACAGAGCTGTCATCAATGAAGACAAAATCGCCTTTTTTAACTCTTGTGATGCCTTCATCTAAACTTTCCAATCCAACTCCACTGCTAACTATTTTGTTGTATGTTTCATCCTCATGATCAGACATCATGGTCTGAAGATTACGATCATTTATAAGTCCCCACTTATAGTCTCCCTGGTTCAACAGATCGTCTAGTTTGGTAATTGTTGCGGTAGAACGATCCAGCGTCAGATGAGCAGTTAGATTTGCCGTGTACATTGAGGTGAGAATCATGATGAAGAGCCACCACATGAAAAGAAGGAAGCGTCCAGACGGTGCAGTAGGAAGTGTGTCAGTCCCTTGCAGAACAAAACCTGAAACACAGTTTACATCATAATGATATGCTAAAAACAATATTATACCCATTATAGTGATCCACGCGCACGATCGTGCTGAATTAATTATCAATACCTCAATTACAAACTTGAAGTTCGCTGATCATGTTGAATTATAGAATAAGTAGCCTAAAATCAAACCTGTTCCAATAAGCCATGTTGAGTTGTAGTAAGAGAGCTCGTTCATCTCATCGTCCTCCTCTACTTTCTCCACCAAACAACTATATGTCTTCGTATCAACAAACCTACACTTCTTAGCCACTTTGATTTCTCTCCTCAGCACACATTCGGCGCATGCACAACTCTGCATAGCGTGGATAGTCCTGCCATATTTTCCGAAAGGAGAGAACTTACTGAAAAATGTGGTTAAAAGAGCGATCACCAGGATTAGGCCAATGATACTTATCCACACTGATAACTCGAAGGGTTCCAGGAAAAAGAACATGTTTGATGAACTTTTGGATGTCTTAGTATGAACAATGAACGCAGCCTGATCCTCATAGAAAGAAGCAGTGTAGTCAATGTATTTTGACCGCTCAGTATTTATTGACAGAGCTATGGTCAAGTCTGTTTTTCTGTCCAGAATGTCTCTAATCATTCCATTCCACTCTTTTGTTACCTTGTTGAAGCCACCATATTTATTATCTGCCGGCTGAACATATTCGTACGTGAAGTTTAGGTCTTCCTGGAGTTTTTTGATGATATCGGGATTCCAGCCGTACCAGCAGTCAGGACTTGAATTATTACCACACTTCTCATCGAAATATGCAATCGGTGGTTCTGGAACTATGCCGATTCGAAGGTGATAGCCAGTGAGCGTGTTCCCTATTCCACTGGGAGGTGAATACTTATTGCCACTAAATAGAACATCTTTTCTGTCGACCCACCGTAATATTGTTTCATCCTTACCAAGGTTTACAAGACCACTGGAATTTTCCCATTTCCCAATCTTCTCGAAGCCCTTTTCTTGGAAGTTCAATATGTCATACGTTGGAATGACCACCCCAGAATTGTCATATGCTCCGTTTTGGAAATTCTCATCCATCTTGCTGAAGAGTTCTTCACCACCAACCCAGTAAGAAGGTGTTTTACAGCTAACTGATGGGGAGTTGTCCCATTCACCCTCATCAAGCTCTTTTAGAGAGAAATGGACGATTTCTAGACCCATAGAAACTTTTACAGATGACATGTGCAAATCCGAGGATTTACCACCAGTCATAATGTATCCATCTGCCAGATCTTTGTATTGTTTGGAACCTTTTCCATAGTGAGGCAGCGTTCCTATCAATCCTTGGTAGAAGGAAGGGTAGGACAAGTCATCATAGGCCATTGTTTCTGGTTTAGATGTGATCGCATCTGTCGTTATCCAGACAAATGATTCGTCCATCAAGCCCTTTCTTTCGGCTTCCCTGAAAATAGATAATTGTGCTTAATTTAAATCCAGTTATTCGATAAATATTGCAAAGTTAGGTTTAAATCTACCAGCCAGCTATGAGCCACAAAAAATGCTACAGACGAGCAAACTTAAAGATATCTCACCTGAATATGATTTTGGCGAACTTTCCATCACAATTTAGAACAATAACCTTGGCTATCGAATCTTTGATCAGTTGAAGCTCTTTTTCAAAGAAAGAAGAATTTTCTGAATCTGACAGATCTTTTCTTACATCAAAATGTTGGACGTCCCTAATGCTGAAGTTGTCATCTTGCGAGGCCAGATATTGCAAATGCACGATACTGTTGATCCCGTAATCGTCTGCTGATGCCAGAATCGAAAATTGGTACCAATTGTACTCCTTCAACAAGTCGAATATAGCTTGACTCTGAAATACGTCTGATGGTGAAAGTCTCAGTTCAAAGTTTTCCTTAGAGACGGGTTCGAGGAAAGGATTTGTAGCCACCGCAGCAACAAGTGGAACATGAAACTGATTTGCCATATTCACCTGAATCGCCGTCAAAGTTGAATCTGACCCAGATATGATAGCCACAACATTTTCGTCGATAAGTTCACAAACATTGTTCATGACGTTTAAGTATGTTGAGTCATGGTATCGTTCTACCAGTTGCAGTTTGGTGTTGGATTTGTTTAGTTTGGAGATGGTGTATTGGGCGAGGCTTTTGATGGCATTGGACCCATCCTGCTCTTCGGAGTTCAACAAGAGACCAACTTTGTATGGTTGCCCAATCGAGTATAAAATGAAAAAGAGGATATAATGGAGCCCAGCCATAATACCTGAGAGGTAAAAAAGATATTCAGTAATCATTGGTTCAGAACAAATTCTATATTTTGAGGATTTGTGATGCTGCTAAGAAAAGACGAAGTCGAAAGCTGCCTAAGCGGAGAATATTCAGAAGAAAATTAAGCAAAAGCTAATTTCGAACAGTTCTGTTTTGCTTCATAGTGCAGTGTTCACTGTTCAACTCGAAACGAAAGCCCTCAGCCCACGCATATTTTCGTACGACAAGTGGAAGAGACCAAACAGAGAAACCTGCTTCCGCACTGATATTTGAGGTATTGTTTAAATCAAGTTTGGCGTTTAATATTAAGAATGGCAACTTTTACAGAACAGCAAGTTAATGTCAATTAACAGAAAATTTGGGATATAGCACGCGAAAATAATTTAAAGTATTGTATGCAAGTGAAGCGACGATAAGACCAAAAACTTAAGGATCAAGTTGAGTACAAGCCAAATTATTTAGTATTAATTTGGAAACCAATTAAAGAAAGTTCGTACAGAAAATTCCGCAGCAATTTCATAGGACCGTTCAAAGTTATAAGTCGTATTGCAGGTTATAACTACAAAGTCCTTAATGAAAAAACGGGAAAAATTATGGTCACTAATTTTGAAGCTATGCGACGGTATTCGCCTGATCTACGAAAACCGCTTGATAAACAAACTAAAGATGAACAAAGCCATGCAGTATTAAATAACAGCGAGGATAGTGACAATGAACTTTCTCTTGAATCACCAAAGTTTGAAATTATAAGTCCTCAAATTGGTGAAATTGATGAAACTACAAATTCGGTCGCTGATACACAAATAATATCTGAACAAGTGCCTGATGAAGTTCCTAGCACAAGTAGTAAGTACCAATAATGCTGCTGATAGTAATAACAATAATTCAGGTAGGCCTAAAAGGACCACTAAGCAGCCTGATAGAATGAAAGTTAGTTGGAATACTAAATCGTATTAAATTTAAAAAGTTATGCATATTTTTTTTTTTTTTTTTTTTGTTTTTTTAGAGAAAAAAAAAGAAAAAAAAAATAAAAAAAACAAAAACAAAAAACAAAAAACAAAAAAAAACAAAAAAAAATTTAAAAAAAATTAAAAAAAACAAAAAAACAAAAAAAAAAAGTTATGCATATTGATATACGTAGTAAAATTGTGGTATAATTTAAGTATTGAGAAATAAAAGATGTAATTTCAGGAATAAGTTTAAAGAGAAAATGACGGTGAGATATATCATTCTGCTGTTATTGATTGGAAACAATTTGATTTTTAAATTTGAATGCGTAATGGCGTTCAATGCATAGCAATGTAGCAAAAATCCAGGAAAGATTTTTAAAATCAAAAATGATTTTATTGATTGTCATGACAATAATACAAAGAGGATCGAGCTGATACTTTCTAAACGAAATGTAAAACAGTATGTAAATGATTCACGTGCACTTAAGATAGAGTTATTACACTGTAAAACCACACATTTTTTCTTTGACGCCAAGAAAGAAGAGATATTTACTACTATACCGGATATAACGCAGGAACAATACAAATTAAAAATTTCAACTAGCAAGATAGAAAGGGCACAATATTTAACTAGATTAAGTGTTAGTATAGACCTTTTTGCCGATAGATTGAACAATGAGGCTTATCTTGCGTTAAACAGTTTTAATGAGGTCTGTACTCTTGAAGACAGAATTAAGTTGCCAGGTATTAAAGTATTAAGAATTTATATATCAAAAAAGTGCATCCTTACTATAGAATGTTGGAGATTAATATTGATCTCCAACATTCTATCAACTACATGTTAACGTCCTTAAAATAATTAATCATTACATGTTCCGGATAGGAACATTTTTCTTTTTGAAAATATTGTGCGAACTGCAATAGCGTAGAGTGCAGTTGGGTTTTAAGTTTTGTCGAGATGGCTATGTGGCCATAATCCTATTATTATTATTATTATTATCAGGAAGATGTTGGCATCATCTGCGTACATAATGAAATTGGCTATAGAAAGATAAGTTTTATAGGACACTCACAGATACATTTGATGGGCTACCTCGTCACGATATCAAATTACTGCTCGGCGATTTTAATGCAAAAGTAACATCAGGCAGATATGGAAGTGAAGCGGTCATCGGTGGGGAATCACTCCATAGCTCATCAAATGACAACGGGACAAGACTTGTGGATTTCTGTGCGACGAACCAGCTTGTCATCGGGGGAACTCTCTTCGAGCACAAGAACATTCACAAGGGAACATGGCGGTCCCCCAACGGGCTCACCGTCAATCAGATAGATCATATCTGCATTGGAAAGCGGTTTCGTCAGTCACTTTTTGATGTTAGGGTATGTCGCGGGGCAGACATCGGCTCCGATCATTATCTGGTTCTAGGACTGCTGAAAATCAAACTTCAGTCAGTGACAAAGATCAACGCCAACAGGCCCAATGTGCCTGCCATTGAGCGCCTGAGGGATAGTACTACGGTTTTAGAGTACAATGTGGCTCTTCAAAACCGATTTGCAAGTCTGGATAGTGAGGTCGACCTCGAGGATATGTGGCGTAATCTCAGTCAGACCGTCACTGATGTCTCACTGGAGGTACTAGGCAAAAGACCCCGGAAGGCAAAGGAGCAACACCTGTCACGGAAGACCAAGGATTTATTGACTCAGCGGGCACAGTTTAAGCGCAAAGACCCAAACTCGGACACTAACAGGTCAGAGTATTCTAAACTTAATAAGTTAGTCAAGAAAAGCAGCAAGCTAGACGACAATAACTGGGCAGTTAGAGTAGCTACTGATCTTGAGGAAGCAGCGAGCAAAGGTCAGCAGCGTGAGGTATGGGCAAAGATCAAGAAGATCTCTGGTAAGAACAAGAAGCCTCAAGCATCTTGTGTCCGGGACAAGGACGGTAGGAAGATCACGGATCCCCAACAGCAGAGGGATAGGTGGAAGGAGCACTTTACTGAACTTCTGAACCCCCCATCATCAAGTGTCAACCTTGCCGACCTTGATACAGTACCACCCCAACCCCACTTTAACTCTCTCTCTTGTTCGGATGGACCACCCACCAGAGACGAGATTAGTTATTCCCTGACAAAGCTTAAGAACAACAAAAGCCCAGGAGTGGACGGGATAACTAACGAGCAACTGAAGTATGGTGTGAGTGCTCTAGTTGATCAACTAGAGTGTCTATTCAAGAAAGTGTGGGAAGAAGAGACTGTTCCTGAAGATTGGTTAAAGGGTGTGATCATTGTTATTGGGAAGAAAGGAGACACTTCAGTCTGCGGGAACAACAGAGGGATCACCTTAAGGTCTACAGCATCCAAGCTTTTTCAGATGATTCTTCTTAAGCGGTTACATGCTGGTATGGAGTGTCTCCTCAGGGAGAATCAGTGCGGATTTAGACAGAACCGCTCATGCATTGATCAGATTTATTCTCTCCGAACTATTATTCATAACTGTCTTGAGTTTAACATTCCTCTTTACATTAATTTTGTGGATTTCAAGGCAGCGTTCGATTCTATCAGAAGGGACTTTATTTGGTGCAGTATGAGACACTATGGGCTGCCTGAAAAATATGTCAGAATATTTCAGTCATTTTTTGGGGGTACCATGAGTGCCGTGAGGGTTAATGGGGAGCTGACAGACTGGTTTGATGTTAACTCAGGCACAGGTCAGGGTGACATTCAAGCACCTCCTGTCTTTAATTTCTGCCTAAACTTTTCTGCATTTCTGGCTGAGACCAACAAGATCATCAGTCAAGGCGCAGTGCTGCAGAAAGAGATGAAGACGGTCGAGGAAAAGGTCATTCTGGACACCGATTATGCTGATGACATGGCTATTATGGACAACTCAGGGGAAGGCCTACAGGAATCAACTGATCTATTAGTTCATTACAGCTCCTACGCTGGGCTCAGAATAAATGCAAAGAAGACCCAATGCATGGCTGTAAGCAAGTGCGCCTCCCAGCGACCTTTCATCAAGGATGATTGTATTGAGCTGTCGGTTGAGGGTGAACCCGTCGAGCAGGTTAGCAACTTTGTCTACCTGGGTGCAACTATTAGTGGGGATGGGACAATCAACAGAGACCTGGATGTCCGTATCCAGAAGGCTAATGGCGCCTTTCATCAGCTCTGGAACATTTGGAATAGCAGAACTATAAAGACTCCAACCAAGATCAGGATCTATAGGGCTGCTGTCCTCACCATCTTGTTGTATGGAGCTGAAGTCTGGAACACCACCAAAAAGCAGATGAAACGTTTCGAGGTTTTCCATCAAACCTCCTTGAGAAGGATCCTTAGGATTAAATGGTTCTTTCATGTAACCAACGACGAAGTTCTTAGGAGGGCTGGCATCAAGTCAGTTGAGACTTTCATCAGTGCTGCCAGGCTACGTTGGTATGGACATGTAGTTAGAATGCCAGACTCTACACTACCGAGGTTTCTGTTGAACTGGAAGCCAAACTATGGAAAGAGGTCAAGGGGCAGACCCCGTAAGAACTGGAAGTCCTGCGTACTCGAAGATGCTGCTAAGTTTACAGGTGTTGAAAACATCGACAACGACACAACAGAAGCTTTGGCTACCAACCGAGTACAGTGGAGACATATGTTACGCCGCCAACGCGATGTGTGTGATGCAGGCCACTCCAACGACTAGGAGGAGACCTTACCATGTAACATGTATGTATGTATATCTGATATTTGAGGCAGGTCGTTTATGTAGATTATAAAGAGTAAAGGTCCTAATATTGACCCTTGCGCAACCGGCCACGCCGTATAAAATTTGGTTGGTTGAGGATTTTGACGAGCCAATTGATACAAACTGTTTCCTGTTAGTGAGATATGACTTAAACCAGTTTAAGGCTTGACCCCTTATGCCGTAATGGTCCAGCTTACGCAAGAGTATGGAATGATCCACAAGGTCGAAAGCTTTGCTGAAGTCGATTAAAAGAAGTAAAGTTACCTGCTTTTTAGACATTGAATTAAGAATGGTGTCTTTTGCGTT